CGCGAGCTCAGCTCCGTCCCGCCCCAGCCCCGCAGAGCGAGCGACAGCGCCGTGTCTGGGGCCTCGCCCGTCCGTCCCAGGCCACTCGGCCGTGTGCACATCAGCCGCGGGCAGGGGTCCCCGGAGGGCCTGCGCGGCTGGCCCTGAACTCCGGGAAGGCCGGGCGTTTGCTCCTCCAGGCGAATCAGACTCTCACCCCCCTTGGTTTTCCAAACTGCAGACTTGGGGAGCTCAACTTGCGAGTTTTATGAACTTGTAAATCTGACTTGTTTTAAATCCGCTGTGTCCCCACAAAGGGATAAGACTATCCCTAGGAAGATGGCCCGGGGGACCCCCACGGCGACCCCTCCCTCAGACCCTCTCCTGGGGGGACCCTGCCCCTCACGTGTCGAAGGCCGGGTCTGGCAGCGCGGGCCTGCGTCTGCAGCCTCTGAGCTCGGTTTCTAGACGCCCTAGAAACACGTCTTAAACCTTTAATAGAAGTAGAACTTCCAGGCTATAAATACCTAAGAATCCTTTGGTTGGGGGTATTATATGTACAAGTTTTCCAAAACCATCTCCCGAGCAGCCTGCTGCTTCTGTGCTGACCTCGCAGACCCAGAGTCCCCGGTGCCCGCGGCCCCGGGAACAGCTGGCGGCCCCCGCGCCCCCCAGGGGTGCCGCTGCACTGGAGGACGGTGGGAACTCGGGGCCGGGGGCCGTTTCCGTCCCTCCCTCCGTTGGTCCTCATCTAATAACAGCCGGACGCATGCCGTCGGCCACCTGTTACGGCCCGGCGCACCCTGGCCCGGTGCACCAGCGCCGGGCTGGGGCTCGGTGACTCGCCCCAGGTCCCCCACTCACCGTCCCTGCCGCCCGCCCCTAGACCACGCCTGTCCGATTTCAGATCCGCGCCTTCAGCCACGGCCGTGCCGTCGTGTCTGTGCCGGTGCTGTTCGTCGGCGCTCGGGGCCCGTTCAGTGAGCACGTGGCACACGCCAGGCACCGCGTGTGCTTCTGACGTCGGTGCCTGGGCTGCTTCACCGCATGCTCACAGCAGCCCCACGAGGCCCCCTGGTGGGGAGGGCAGGGCCGGGGGTCAGGAGACTTGCCCGGAGACGCAGCGCTGAAAAGTGTCCTCTTGCACGGCCACACGGCCTCCCTGCGGGTGGAGCAGGCCGTGCGCCCAGCTCCCGCGGCCATGCCTTAGGGGCGCTCTGGCTGCCCAGACTCAGGGTCCAGGTTTGGTGGGTGGAGGGGAGGCCAATGTGGCAAGGGCGGGGTTTCTTTCGAGAGTGTTTATTTATATCAGGGAGGAGTGGGTGCGCCGTTTGATGCTCTGACAGCTTCTCGGGTGGAAGGACGGGTGCTGGGGTCCCGCCTTAAGGACGAGAGGGAGCTGAGGGTGAGTGACAGCGGGTCCCTGATGCTGGTGCCTGGTTGAGTGGGGCCCGAGCCAGCCTTGCATTGCATGGTGCTCTCCAACCCGGAGCCGCACAGGGCCGCCCCCCAGGCCCCGCAGCTTTGGCCCGCCTCCAGGGGCCCCTGGGACCTGCCCAGATGGGAGCGGGTACCTAAGGGTGCCGCTTTAGGGCTAGAATGGCCTTGAACGTGGTCTTGGCCGAGGCGTCGTGCCCCACAATGGGCCCGTCTGGATGTCCATGTCAGCGGGTTGAGCATGTTCACCGCTGTGCAGCCGTCACCACACTCGGGCCAAGAGCGTGTGACCCTGGACGCCCAGTGGACGGCACCCTCCGAGCCCGCCCCCACCCCTGCCCCTGCCCTCCACAGCCACCCGCTGCTTGCGGTCTCTAAATCAGGGCAAGAGCTTTGCAGCAGCCAGAGGGCTGGCCTTGCCGGATCCACCATGGCTCGTCCAGAGCCTCCCAGCCGCGGGGCGGTGACCTCCAGCGTGCAGACGTGTGGTGTGCCCTTGGCTCTGGGTGAGCGTGGAGCACACTCGCGAGAACAGCTCTCATTGCAGAGCATGCTCGTTAAAACCCGGGTAGGACCCTGAACCAGAATGAAAATACTACAGGGAGAGTAACGCACACTCCGCCCACGCCCGGGGTGGGGGGGGTGTTCTCCATTGCGGTGGGCAACACGGAAGTGCTGATGGTCAAACCTTCGCTGGAGCCGGACGGTCCAGTAGGAAACTGTGCCGTGACACCAGCCGCCGATGGCACTAGATTGTGCTGCTGGCGACAGGCCCGAGTCCCTGGCCTGGGGTGCCACCCCGTCTGCCCGGACCTCCGTGCGCGTGCGCACCGCGTCCAGCCCCAGCCTCGGAAACCGGGAGAGCCTCACAGGCGGCCTCTGCCGCGCACAGCGCCCTCTGTGGTTAGCGGGTGGGTCACACCCCCGCCGCCGCAGTGCCCGCGGGGCGTCTCCAGGCCTCCCGTCACGCACAGGTGGGCGGTTCTCAGCGGCCCCAAAGGCGGACGTCAGGCTGGGGGGGTGGGGGGCAGGGACAGGCTCCGATGCTGCGCCCCAGCCGCCCCCCCACCCCCGCCCAAGGCCGCGAGCTCAGGCTGGAGCCTGGGTTTCAGGCCCCCAGGCCTGGCGCTTCCCCCGGACACGCGCCCTCTTTTGTCTCCACCCTGCACCCCGTTCTCCCCGATTCCCCGTCTGCCTTGTGACCTGTCCTGGGCTGAAGCCACATCCTCTTTCTGGGCGGCCTGGGTGACTTGGTAGGACATGACCTCAGCCCGCGCTGGCCCTCGCGCGGCGCAGCAACCGACACCCAGTGCGGCCCCGTGCGCAGCCGGGGACGTGACACTCATCCGCAGCACTCGGGGGGTGGGGGGCACATAGCAAAGGCCTCGGAGACTGTCCCCAAACATCGTCACTAGTGCTGCCGCCCCACCCACCCCCGCGGGGCAGGTGTGTGCGCACACAAGCACACACGTGTGTCTGCCCTCCCCGGGCGCAGCCACGTCAGCCTGGTCAGCTCGCCTGCGGGGGGCGCCAGCCGCACCTCTGGCGCCAAACGCTGTCCTGCGTTCTCTGGCTGGGGGACCCCCAGTCCGCCCTGGACAGGATCTGCGGTGGCGGGTGGCCCTGCGACCTGCGAAAGCCCCGGGCCTGGAGAGACCGCAGGCCTCAGAGCGCGTCTCAGGAAGAGGCGTGATGTAACTCTCTGACCGGAGGACTGCGGGAGGAAATTTCCGTCGGGCCCCGGGGACGGGAAAGCTCGGGGGCAGGGCGGCAGCGTTCCTGCCTCTGCGGCTCGGAGAGAGAACGGCAGGCAGGGCGGTTCTGGAGAGCTGGGGGCCCTGAAGCAGAACCACAGGGGCGCTGCTGACCACACGCGTCAGGCGCCCTGCCCCCCACCCCGCCGTCTGGGCTGCTGGCTGCTTCTCCCGGAACCCAGAGAGCGCCCGGCAGGGGGCGGTGTCGGGAGAGCGGCCCGGTCCCTGTGCTCTGAGTGTGCGCCCGTCGGTGGGAGGGCGCCCGGGGCTCCACGCCGGCTGCCCCGTGCCGCCTTCGGGGCAGCCCGTAGCCCCTCCGCTCAGCGTCTGGGAGAAGCAGTGCCGGCGTGCGGAACCCGTCGGGGTCGCTGCCCTGCTCTGTGAGATGCCGCGGCTCTCGGAGCAGGTGCCCGCGCTGCTGAGTCAGAACGGGAGCAGTGGGCCCCCGAGGGCAAGGCGTCGGGGAACCCCGAGGCCACTGGGGCCCTTTTTCCAGCTCTCCTCATCTGGTCGCTGTGCAACCTATTCTTAAATCTTGGTTTTTGGTTTTCGTGGGTTTTTTTTTTTAAAGATTTTATTTATTTTCGAGAGAGGGGAAGGGAAGGAGAAAGAGGGAGAGAAACATCACTGTGTGGTTTCCTCTTGCGCGCCCCCTACTGGGGATCTGGCCTGCAACCCAGGCCTGTGCCCCGAGTGGGAATCAAACCGGTGACCCTGTGGTTCACAGGCCAGCGCTCAGCCCACTGAGCCACACCAGCTGGGGCAAATCTTGTTTTTTAAAGACTATTTTACTAAGAGAAAAAGAGGGTTCAAATGAAGGGGATGTTTGCCATGTCCGTGGGAGGCTGGAGGTGCGCTCGCTGCTCAAACAGCGCCGCTGACAGACCAGAGCGGGAGACCGCGGCCTGTCCCAGGTGTCAGTGGCACCACCTGGCCGCCCTTCTCAGCCGAGCGGTGGTGCGCGGGGGTGGGTGTTTACCTGCGTATTTCTGAGCCCCCCAGCCCCCTTCTTTGCCTCCTCTGAGCAGTTGCTGCAGGTGGGTTGCGTCACCTGTGTCCTCGTGGGTGGCCTGCTTTTACTCAGGTCCTTGTCATTAACCGAGTCATACGGTCAGCACTTGTTGATAACTGGTCAGCTTAGACATCGCACGGCCTGCTGGGTACCCAGCGCCCCGATCTGGCCGGGGCCGATTCCCCCGAGGTGGGCGCCTTGGGCTCACGTGTACGTGCGGCACGGCGGCCCCGGCAGCTGGCCGGCGTTGGCGCGTTGGCCTGGGGGCCTCTGCCGTAGAGAAAACCAGGCCGCGGGTTCTGGAGCCCAGAGCTGACCGCGAGGCCGGCCACCTGGACTGCGCTCGTCCCGCCCCCGCTCCCAAGGCCCCGGCCAGCAGCTCCCGGTGGTGCGGCCACCCTGGCGACGCACCGTCGGCTTCGTGTCTCTCGGTCACTAATGTCACTGTGGCCACCGGGCTCGCAGCGCCTCGGGTTCCCACGAGCGGTCCCCGTGGGGCAGTGAGCCCCACGTGGTGTGGCAGGAAGTAGCTCTGTCTGGAGCCTCCGCTGGAGATGCCGTCACGGGTATTCGTCAGGGGATGCTCGCGTCTCTCCTGTCCGCGTGCCCGTCAAGGGGAAACCAGCGCCGGCGCCGGTTCGGGCCCCGATGAGGGCAGAGGAGACGCGGGGCGGCGCAGCGGGTCCAGCACGGTGGCCAGCGCCGCATCCCGTGGTCCCCGCTGCCTCCACGGACCGGGGCGCGTCCGCCGCCTGGCGCCCCCCCGCGGCCGCCTCGCGCCTCACACCTCACGCAGCGCTCTCCCTCCCCCTCCGCAGGTGCACCTTCCGCTTCCCCAGCACGGCCATCAAGATCCAGTTCACGGCGCTGTTCCAGCAGGAGGAGGCCCCGGCCTCGCCCCTGCGGCCGCTCTACCCGCAGATCTCCCCGCTGAGGATCCACATTCCGGAGCCCGACCTGCGCAGCCTGGTCAGCCCCATCCCCTCGCCCACCGGCACCATCAGGTGAGCGGCCCCGCCCCGGCCCCGGGGCGCCTTGCGCGGGCGGTCCAAGGGTGGGGGGAGGGGCACCCGCTGTCCTCTCCGGCGTCTGACGGGTTTCTGCCGCGGCGCGTGCGCGCGGGAATGCTGACACCGTTTGCAGAGCAGCAGGGGACCCGGCTGCTCAAACGGGGCTCCGGAGAATTCTCTCCCCGAGGGGCCACTGCCTGCTCCGTCGCTTTGTTCGCTTTGCCGGCCGGGTGTTTTGTGCCTTGGCCTTTTAAAGCGGGCGCGGGCGTTGCTTCTCGGGACACTGGGAGTATCTGGAATACTATTCCTGTGCCAGGACCTGCTGAACTTGGCGGACACTCTTTGTGAGGTTCTGGAAACTGATCTAGACTTTGGAGAAAGGGGAGTCCCCAGACTCTGGCACCCCTGGCGGGGGCCGCAGTGCCCTTGGGGGCGCGCCGGGAGAGGTCTGTGTGCGGGGTGGCCCGGCGCCCCGGCGCCCCCTGCCGCCCTCCCCTCTGTCACAGCGCGCGGGAAGGCGTGTTTTTTGGGGTGAGACTCGGTCCATTTAAGCTGGTTTACTGCTTCGCCACAAGCATCTTAAGACACAACTGGCTGCTTTTCCTCTTCTGTGTGTGTGTGGCCCTGGCGCCGCCGTGACCGCACGCGCCTGTGGTGACGGCACCTCGGCTGCTGCCGTGGCCCCAGGCGCGTCCAGCAGGGCCCGGGCGTCCGGGTGCGGGTCAGCCCAGCGGGGAGGGCACGGCGCCCCTCCGCGGGGGTCTCGGATCCTCGGGCACATCTGTGAGCCGCGCTTGCGGACCCACTGCGCCCCCAGCGAGTTCTGCTGTCCCGTGTGTCACGAGGCTCCAGGCCTGTCTCTCGCCCACGGCCCTCCCTCGGGGGTCGGTCCCTGGGTCTTGCCCCTTCCCGGGGTCACGGTTGGAACCACATGCCGCTCACTCCCTGCAACATTCAGCGCGTCCCGTGCGCCTGCGATTTCTGCCCGCGGCACGCTGGCTGCGCGCTGGGAGCCGCGCACGTGGAGTCGTTTGCCCCGCCCCTCCGGAGTAGGCGGGGCAGGCGTGTCTGCCTGCTGCAGGGAGCGAGCTCCGGGGCTGCGCTGCACGCGACCCGCACGTCCAGTCCGGGCCGAGTCCGGTCGGTGGGAGGCCCGGGGACAGGGCCCCGCCGCCCCGCTGGGCCTGCTCTTTGTGGCCGTCTGGGCGGCCAGCACGCGTGACGTTCCGTCCGGACCGCGAGGACGGTGACCAGTAACGGCTCCCGGAAGCCTCGCGTGCGGCCGCTGCGGACAGCGCCCCCTGGAGCTCGTGTCACGAACTCCCGCGCGTGTCCTCGCTGCTCCTCGGACGTCTGGCCCGAGAATCGTGCGAAACACGGTCGCTGTGAAAACGCTCCTCCACGCACCCGCGTGTGCCACTTGCACGCACAGAACCTGCGCGTGGTGAAGTGACGCGGCCACTTTGGAAGCCAGCCCGGCGGTGCCCCCGAGGGTTGAACAGGGTGTCACCCCGTGGCCCCCGTGCACTGGCCCTGCGGCCCACCTGAAAGCAGGGACCGCCGCAGGGCTCACGGCCACATTGTTCGCGATCGCCCCAAAGTGGAGACAGCCCAGGGGTCTCTCAGCTCACGAGCGGCCACTGGGACGGGGCCCACCCCGCAGGGCGGGTGGTCCGGCCATGAAAGGCGCGCCGAGTGTGGGCGGTCCTGGTGAGCGTCCGGCTGCGTGGCGGGGCCGGGTGTGGAGACCCACGCCCTCGCTGCGCCGGTGCGAGCCGTGCCGCCCAGGCAGCCCCGTGGGGACAGAAGGCCGGTGCATGGCCACCGCGGCGGGGCCTCGGGGGCCACTGTGGTGGTCACGGGCTTCTTCCTGCGCGGTGACAGCGTCCTGGCCCTCGATGGCCGCGGTGGTCACCCAGCTCTGGGGGTGCACGGACACCGCAGCGCTGTGCACTCGGGGTGCAGCGGGTGTGAGCACATACACCTCAGTGGGGCCGAGCAGGACCTGGCACTGACCCGCCGCCCAGCGGCCCCTGAGAGCCCTGCAGGGACGGCACCGGGGTGTCACCGGCCCTGTCCAGGCGCGGGCGCTCTCCACACCCCAGGACAACCACGGCGGGCGGTGGGCGGCGGGCGACCTCAGACAGGGTGGGATTATTACCAACGATGTGTGATCCAGCCAAATGGGTGCTTTTCGGAAAGGAGACGTGTGTGGTTTGCACCAGGAGAGCTTTCCGAACAGTGAATGCATTTCCCAGGCACGGTTCAAACAAGAACGGGACCCGACTGGTGCAGAGACTCAGGCAGTGAAGCCGCTTTGGGCTGGGAGGGAGGGGGTGGGCTCGGAGGGAGGTGGAGCTGTTTTCCCTGAGCGGAGCTGTCGTCCTGCTGGCGAGCCCGAGCCCTCGGCCGCCCGGGCCGCCCTGGTTGATATTTAACTTGCTCCGGGGGCCGGAGGGTGCCAGAGGGCGGCGCCGCCCACCCTGCCGCGCGGGGACTGGCTTCTGGTTTCCCCTTGGCGAGGTGTTTGCGGAGCCAGCGGTACCTTCGGGACCAGCTTCCTCACGTGAGGGCCTTTGATCGGGTGTCACGGGGGAGGGTCCCTGTTGACACCCTCTCATCCTGGCGCTGCGGAATCCAGCGCCGTGTGGCAGAAACCTCAGGGGCCCTGAGGTTTCCTGGCCGGGACCCTTTGCATCAGAGGGAGGGGCCTGAGTATTACTGACAAACAGCCCGGCCGCCCCTCCTGCCTCCCGGGGATCCTCTGCGGAGACACAGGCAGGCGGTGCCATCTGGGAGCTGCGGGGCAGGCGCGGTCCCGGTCGAGGAGGCGCCCTGGCGGGGCGCCCTGGCACCCGCGGCCGCCCAGCGGCCCGGCCCTTTCTAAGAACTCGGGCCACGGCCCCTCCTCCCGTCTGTCTCCTAATTTGGTGTGGCTGTGCCCCGCGCGCCCCATTGGCCAGCGCGGTCCTGCAGTTTGGAGACCTTGGCTGGGTTGGTTTCCTCTCCCTGAGCCGGTTTTCACCTGCGCTGAGCCCGGTCTTCTCCGAGATCTGGGAGTGGCTGTGCCTGTGGGAACCCTCCCCCCACCCCAACAAACAGCCCCGCCCCACCCCGCCCCGCCCCCCTGACCCAGCCACCTCCCACCCGTCCCTGGTTTTTTTGTTTTGTTTTGTTTTTTGGTGTTTGTTTTTTTTTTTTTTTGCTTCCCCTGCATTGCCAGGCCCGGGTGTGTGCCTGTGTGGTTGGAGCTTTCTTTCCTTCCTTTTCTCACCGTGAAGTACTCCACCCAGAAAATGAATGAACTTTCTTTGCAATAAATTCTGCCGTCTTAAGCCGTGTTTTGTTGACTCCCCCCCCACCCCATTCTGTAAAGAAGCAAGTGGTGTTCACAGGAAAGAAGAAATCGGTTCCTCCTTCCCTGGGCACCGCAGATGCGGAGACCAGTCTGGAAGGCGCTCCTGAGGCAGCTGCAAGGAAGCCGCTCCAATTGACAGGGGAGAGGCGAGTCCCAGGAGGAGAGTAACCAGGTGTCACTCCTAAGAGCAATGTTTTAGAAGCTGCTTAAGAAAGCTTTCCTTAGCCCTGGCTGGCATAGCTCAGTGGATTGAGCACGGGCTGTGAACCAAAGTGTTGCAGGTTCAATTCCCAGTCAGAGCACATGCCTGGGTTGCAGACCATGGCCCCCAGCAACTGCACATTGATGTTTCTCTCTCTCTCTTTCTCCCTCCCTTCCCTCTCTAAAAATAAACAAGTCTTTAAAAAAGAAAGTATGTTGCTATGCAATATTTAAAAAAAAAAAGAAAGCTTTCCTTGACCCTCCTAACGGAGAGAACAAACAGGAGCGTAGTTTGCAGGGTAGCGGGACACAAACAAACACGGCCGCTGACTCTGGTGTCAGAACCACCTGTAACCCGCCTCCGCCGGCCCCGGGCTCTCTCCTGCGGAGCAGACGGGGCCCTGGCTGTTTGTTTTGCTTTGCGAGGTCACCTCGCCCCGGAGTTCAGGTGTCGTCAGGTCTGCGTTGTAAGTGCTTCTGTTCCCTGGCCGGCGTGGCTCCGTGGACTGAGTGCCGGCCTGCGGGGCAAAGGATTGCGGGTTCGATTCCCACGTGCTTGGGTTGCAGGGGGCAGCGTCCCCAGTGGGAGGCGTGCAAGAGGCAATCACATATTAATGTTTCTCTCCCTCCCTCCCCCTCTAAAACAATTTTTTAAAAAGTGCTTTTGTTTCTCTGGCCAACTCAGGATTAGTCCCAAAGGCTGCAGCCCGTGCTCTGTTCTCAGTCTGACCGCACACAGGCCTCCCTGCCGGCCGTCTCGGGGCCCCCCCATGCGTGGGTCCCCTGGGGGCCCCCTCTTTCCTCCCCTGTACCTGCGGCCGCCCCTCCCCAGCCCCTCCCAGCCCCTCCCCCGCCCAGTCCCTTCCCCCCTTCGAAAACTTAAGAGAGAAAGGCGGTCCTTCCGTGTCCTGTGTATCCCCCTCCGCCTGGTCCCCACCGGCCCCCCAACTGTTGAAGGAAATGGGGCGGGGCCTGTCCCCGTGTCTGTGGCGGTGCCGCGGGCAGGGCGCCCCATTCCGGGCACACCTCAGGGGCCCTTTGAAGGCGGTTACTGTTTTCTTGGGTGTGCCTCCCCGGCGACGCCCAGCCTGTGCGGGCACCCGGCCACCCCAGGGCCCCTCCCAGGCCGCAGCTCCGGGAGGCGGGAGGCGCCCTCCTAAGTCTGCACGACGAGGGTGGGCCCACACTTCAGGTGTGTGTGCCGGGTTAGGTCCCGGCCGAAGCATCGCAAACCCTAGACATGCATCGTGCACGTCTACACATACACGTCTACACGTCTGCCCGTCTACATCGTACGTGGTACTGGTGCCCGCCGGGCCAGCGCGCAGTGCTCCGCCGTGGCTCCCCGAGTGCCGGCCGCGGCGGGGCAGCAGGCGCCGCTCCCTGCCCCCACCCCGGGGAGGCGCGTGGGGCGCCCGTCCGCCTGCAGCGCCGTGTTTCCCCCTCGCTCCGTGTCTTGGTGCTTCCCGTGTCGCTGCACGTCGGCGGCTGCACAGCGGCCCATCTCACGGGTGTGCCGTGTGCGGCCCCTACCGAGGCACGCGTGGGCCGCACCCTGGTCCCCCTCTTTCAGGCCGGACTCGGCCACCTTCCCAGGGGTCAGTGGCGGTCAGCCGTCTGACGCTGCCCCCGGAAAGGCCTGGGCACGTTCACCCAAGGCGCCAGAATTCTCAGATTTGGTTCTGTCGTCTGAAGTGTGTGGGCCCTTCCGGGTCAGAGCCACGCCATGCTAGGGTCCGTGATGACGTGGGAACCGCTCCGCGGTGAGGCCCACGTGCTGAGGCTGGGTGCCCAGCCCGCCCCCTGGTCTCTGCAGCGACCCCGCCTCACAGGGCAGGACACCCCGGCACAGAGTGGCTGAGCAGGGGGCCAGCTGGTGCGGCGGGGACAGCACGTGAGGATGTGTTTCATTCCTGGTTTCAAAGGATCCTTTTTGATTGTTTTTATCAAAGTAATGTGTGCACGTGGTGTAAGAATTCCGCTGATTTCCCCAGAATTCTGATGAGAGAATGGCAGTGCCCTGGCTACGCCCTGCCGGTCCCCCTGGACAGGCCCCCAGCTTCTCACCTCTGCCTCCCACGTGCACACCTGTGCGGGTTCCTCAGGCCGACATCCACGTGCCCCCCCCCACCCCGCCCCCAGCAAAACACCGCCCGAATCCTGGCCCCTTTGGAGTTGCCTCTTCCTCAGGGTAACCATCTGGTGTGCTAAGAACTGTCGGTTTGGTTACTGTCGGTTTGGTTACTGTTGTGATTCCTCTGTGTAACTGTTGGTTCGGTTACTGTCATGATTTCTCAGGGTAACTGGTGGTTCGGTTACTGTTGAGATTCCTCAGTGTAACTGGTGGTTTGGTTACTGTTGGTTCGGTTACTGTTGAGATTTCTCAGGGTAACTGGTGGTTCGGTTACTGTTGAGATTCCTCAGTGTAACTGGTGGTTTGGTTACTGTTGTGATTTCTCGGTGTGACCTTGCAGCAGTCACAGTTTTCACCACCCTTTTCCCGGCTCGCGCCCTGGCTTGTGCCCACAGGAGTCACGTGACCGGTTCTGTGCTCAGTCAGACCTGCAGGCCCCAGGACCTGCCCACCCCGCCCTCTGCCCAGAGCGAAGGCCCGCCACTGGCACCTTTGCTGAAAGGCCCCCCTCTGTAGTTCCGGCCGCCCCACCGCCCTGACCCACGTGGCACCTGGGGCCCTGGGGAGCCCCTTTTCCCTGGCCCCACAGTGTTTCCTTTCCCTGTCTGCCCCTGGTTTATTAGAGGACACCATCCTGTCATTTTTTGAAGACGGGACCAGAAAGATAAATTTTTTTTTAACTTATAATGCTCATAGATTATTATTCTCCACTCACACCAAGTAGGTGATTTTACTGTGCAGAGAAGCCTTTCCCTTGTCATTTGCATCATTTTCTGGCTTCGGGTGCCGCTGTTAAGAAGTTAACGCTCTCCTGACCCCTGACCCTTTGTACACAGCGTTCCCCGGACAGGCTCGGACTCCCGTGTGCCCACGGCACGGGGCATCTCCGCGGGGGCTCGCCAGGGGCCACTGCCACCCCACAAGTCTGCTGTCACTCTGTTCCAGTGTTGCAGATGAGGTGCAGACACCTCTGGGTGTGTCTTGGAGGGTCACAGAAGTCGTTCTAGGTCTGGGCTGTCCTGGGGCCAGCATGGGTGTGTCCTAGCAAGACGGGGCCCCCACCCAGAGTGGCTGCTGGTAGGACCGGCCGGCCTTGAAGGGTCGCCACTTGGGACCCAAAACGGAAATGTGACTTCAGATCACCTCTCCTAAAGGGGGATCGGTGGCCGCCAGCAGCTGAACATGCCTGTTTGCCTTCACGCCCACCTTGAATCTGAAGTCGGGGAGGGCATTCGAGTCACGTGACATCCAGGACTGCTTTATTGCGCCCCAAATTCGAATTCAGACTCCCCACACGCCTGGGCAGCTAAGGGTCCCCCTGAGGGGGGCGGTTCTCTGCGTGAGGCAGGCGCCCCCGGGGGACCTAGCACCTCTTCTGTCTCGCCCCCCCAGGGACACGTGTGCACTCGGAGAAGCAAGCCCTCGTGTCGCTGACAGTCGGGAGCGTGGGCGGAGCGGGATGGAGCTCCCCCACGCCCCAGGCCGGGCTCCGAATCGAGCTTCAGCAGCCCTGAGACGCCCAGCCCACGTGGCGCGTGGCCTGCCCCCTTCCCCTGACCGGGAGGTGTGGGCCGGGGCAGCGGTGCCGGGTGGCCCTGGGAGCCAGCCCGCGGGGACGCTGAATGAGGCTCATTGAGAAGCCGGCCGCTCCGAGGCCTGGACGGCCCAGCACGCCCGCCCCTGCCGCGGCGCCACCAGAGAGGGCGTGGCGGCAGCTCTGCAGAGGAGAGGGGCACGGGCCGCCCGCTCCGGCCCCTGTGAGCCAGCTCCGCAGCCGTGCTGTCCTTCCCTGGGAAGGACGCCATCCGAGACCGCTCTGTGGGGTGGGGGGCGGCCTTCTCCCTGCATGTTGCCTTCTGAGGTCTGGACGGGAACTCTCTCTGGCCTTGGACAGCGCAGTGGGGGTGGGGGGCGGGCCGCGTGGCCCCGAGCCAGCCCAGGAGCCCCGAGTCCCTCTCCACCGTAGGACCCTCCCGTCGCACTCCGGGTGAGACCCTCGGGCCCCTGAGCCCGCCTCCAGGAGGGCAGTGTGTTTCTGGGGGACGGTCAGGAGGGGCGCTGTCGGTGCCGGCTGGAGCGGGCCGAGTGGGCCGCAGCCCCGCACAGAGCACCTCCGGGAAGAGCCCCCGCGTCAGGCTGCATGGAGGCGCTCACGCCGGCAGGCGCCCACGGGGCTCGGGGCAGCTCCCGCAGGGCACTTTGCGCCGGGGCTTGTTCCGAACATTTTGTAATGGGGTTAACTTCAGGGCCAGTATCCGATGAGGCTTGGTAAGCAAAGTGCACCAGGTTACCAGGAGGAAACGGGCCGGAGCCTGTGCCCGCGGAGCCCAGCCCCCCGGGGGGGCTGGCCGGCGGAGCCCTGGGCTTCAGGTGGGAGCAGCCTGGGAGGCATGGCCGGGGATTGCCGCCGCAGCCCAGGAGAGAGGGAGGAAGCCGCGGCTGCGGCCCAGGAGGGCTGGGCCCCTTCCTCTCCTGAGGCTTTCATCCGGCGGGTGCGGTTCTGACCTTTGCTGCGGGCGCCCCCGTGTGGACAAGTGCGCACAGGACAGCAGCCGGCCGCTGCCACGCCCCCTGCCTGTCGGCCCGCGGGTGGGGCAGTCACTGGTCGGTCCTTTATCCAGGGCTGGCGCGCTGTCATGGCAACAGAGAACGGGGAAACTGCCGTCAACCTGCCTGCCGTCCGGGGAGGTCCAGTGCCCTGCACCAAGCCCTGCGCTTCGGGATCGCGACTCAGGCCGTGCCCTTTCTCTCCGCAGTGTTCCCAACTCCTGCCCCGCAAGCCCACGCGGAGCCGGGTCCTCCGGCTACCGATTCGTCCAGAACGTGACCTCGGACCTGCAGCTGGCCGCAGAGTTCGCCGCGAAGGCCGCCTCGGAGCACCAGGCAGACTCCACGTCCGGAGGAGACAGCCCCAAGGTCTCCGCCCTCACAGCCGGGGGCCGCGGGGGCCGCGGGCGGGGCGGGGCCTCCAGCCCCCCCCTGCGCGCGCCCTGAAGCATCGTGCTTCCTGGCCGTTTCTGCCTCTCGCCTGCTGTCGACCAAACAGTCTCACGGTTTTTTAATTACAGCCTTTGAGAGGAGCAACAGTTTGTCAGTACATGCCCACCTGACGACGTTTAAACAATATGTTTCAGTGGAGTTCATTGTTGTCACTGACTTTTGAAGTATAGTTTACATAAGTCTGATGCCCGCGTTTTAAGCGCGTACATACAGCTGACCCTTGAACAACACAGGGGCGGGGGGTGCTGCGCCCCTGCACGGTCGAAAATCTGTGCGACTTTGTTTACTTATTTCTTTAAGCCCAACCCCTTCACCTTCTTCAAACCCAGCCCCACCCCCTCCCCTCTGAGCCTGTCGGTTCTCTAGGGTCTGTTTCTGCTTTGTTAGTTTATTTCGTTCCTTAGACCAGGTAGGCGTGAAATCGGGGTAAGTTTTAAAACCAGTTTGTAGAGGAGGTGAGGAGTCCCAGAACACATCACGATGAAACCCGCACTTCCCTCCTCGCGGGGCGGAAGCAGCTCTTCCTCCGTTAGGCAAGCACGTGGCTGCCCCCCCCCCCCACGCAGGACACCGGGTCTGGTGTAAGCAGCTGCGCGGTCGATCTCTTGTTCTCACCGGAAGCTTTCTCCGCCGGGAGGGGACACGCGGGCGGGTGGGACGTGGGAGCAGGCCCGGGGCTCCACGCGCTGCCTCCCCCCACCCGCAGGACGAGTCGAAGCCGCCCTACTCGTACGCCCAGCTGATCGTGCAGGCCATCTCCTCGGCGCAGGACCGGCAGCTCACACTAAGCGGGATCTACGCCCACATCACCAAGCATTACCCCTACTACCGGACGGCGGACAAGGGCTGGCAGGTGAGGCCGCACCCTCCCGGCACGCTCCGGCGGCAGCTTCCTCAGAGCCGAGGGGCACGGGGCCGCGTCTGAAGCCGGCGGCGCCGGGGCGCCCAGGCCCCTCCCCCAGCTCCGGCGCTGTGCCGGGGCTGTGCCTGCGTCCTTGCATCGACCCGCTCTGCGCGTCACGGTCACGCTGCCTTTGGTCACCCACGTGTGCAAACTGGGGGTGTGTTTGTGTGCGATTGCACGGCCCTCGTGCTCTCGGGCACGGCCAGCGAGTCCCACGCCTCTGCCTGTCTCCACGGCCTCTCTCCCGCTGGCCGGGGGCTCCGTGCGGGTGTTGCCCCGGCGCGCCCCTGGGCCGTGGCCGGTCTGTCTGTAAGGAACGGTAGTGGTGCTGACCCCAGTCACCTCCGCACTTCCCCGCGAGACCGCTGCCCCGGCCAGCCCGCGGGCGCCCCGGCCGGCTCGAGCCCCGGGCTCCGGGCGCCTGTGGTCTGTGTCCCGGTGTCTGGAGCGGGGCGGGCAGGCCGTGCCCTCCGGCTCACGCGTGACCGGGGGCTGCCTCTGCTTGCCCGCAGAACTCTATTCGACACAACCTCTCCTTGAACCGCTACTTCATTAAAGTGCCCCGCTCCCAGGAGGAGCCCGGGAAGGGGTCTTTCTGGAGGATAGACCCCGCCTCGGAAGCCAAGCTGGTGGAGCAGGCCTTCCGGAAACGGAGGCAGCGGGGCGTCTCCTGCTTCCGCACCCCCTTCGGGCCTCTGTCGTCCAGGTGAGCCCGGCACCCCCGCCCCCCCCACCCCCGCACGCTGCGGCAGCCCCTGTGCCGGGGGCGTGGCTTTGAGGCGGGCGGTGGGAGGGGCCTCCGCGAACCGCTCCGCCTCTGTCCGTCCCCCACGGGGGGGGGGAGGGTCTGTGCCCGTCCCACAACAGCTCACATCGTTACCCCGAAGGTGTGGCCTCTTTTCTGGGGGACAGCGGGTCCCTTCGGGGAGTGACCGCTCGGGGTCGTGCCTTTGTCTGGGGCCACACCGTGCAGTGTCCTCCCTGGGCTGGGCTTTCCCTGCTGCGCCGCCGTCAGGGCTGTCGCGTGGCAAGGTGTCGCCCCGCAGTGTCCGTGCGGGGAACCCCTCGTGGGGGCAGGAGGCGTGGGCGGGGGTCGCCGCGCGAGTCTCGTCGTTGCGCTCACTCCCGTGGTCCCTTCTCCCCGCACTCAGGAGCGCGCCGGCCTCGCCCACCCACCCCGGGCTGATGTCCCCTCGCTCTAGTGGCCTGCAGACTCCGGAGTGCCTGTCTCGGGAGGGCTCCCCCATTCCTCACGACCCCGACTTTGGGTCAAAGTTAGCTTCCGTTCCAGAGTATCGGTATTCCCAGAGCGCACCCGGTAAGAGCGGTTCTGTCCCTGTGTCTGCTGGCGGGCTGGGGGGGAGGGAGGGGTGCGGGGAGCCCGCTGACGGCGCCCTCCTCCGCGCAGGCTCCCCCGTCAGCGCCCAGCCGGTCATCATGGCCGTGCCGCCCCGGCCGCCCAGCCTGGTGGCCAAGCCCGTGGCCTACATGCCGGCGTCGATAGTGACGGCCCAGCAGCCCTCGGGCCACGCGATCCACGTCGTGCAGCAGGCCCCCCCGGTCACCATGCTCAGGGTGGTCACCTCCTCCGCCAGCTCCGCCAACGGCTACATCCTCGCCAGCCAGGCCTCGGCAGGGGGCGCCCACGAGGCAGCGGGCGCGGCCGTGTTGGACCTGGGCAGTGAGGCAAGAGGTAAGGGGCCACGGGTCGCTTGGCCGGGCCACCGGAAGGCGGGCTGTCACCCTGGGTCTTGGGGGCTGTGGACCCTGGTGTCCCGGCCGGGGCTGGCCCTAGGGCCGATGGCTCCGCCTCCTGCCCCTCCTCCCGGCCGCTGCTGTCCCAGGGGGTGTGGCCTTTGGAGCGCGCGCTGCGCGTCCTCCGGAAGAGTTTCTCCTGGGCAGCCAGCGCTTCGGGCGCTCAGCCCCAGGTCACCCCGAGCTGGGTGGAGGGTCTGCCTAAATGTGGAGGCCGGAGAATGAGTCCTCTTGAGCCCCCAGTGAGAAGCCCTTAGAAGTCGTTTAAGGTTGAAAATAATCACCAGGCCATGAACTGGAAACCTGGGTCCCAGGCCCAGCGGGCACATCTTGGCGGGGCAGCCACATGCGGGCGGGCAGGGCCCCTCCCCTCGGCAGAAGCAGCACCTGCGCCGGCCCTCCCCCACTCCCCTCGCCCCCTCGCGCCCCCCTCCCCCCGTACCAGCGAGGGGCGGCTGCGTTTGAGTGAGAGGCAACAGTGTGGCTCTGAACGAAAATCATTTCTCTCAAATTAATACATTTGTTTCCGGGATGACGTCGGGTCTGGATACAGTTTAAGGTATCTGAACTTTGTCTAAAACCCTCCATGGGGGGTTCCTTCCCTCTGTCGGGGCCGGAAGGGCTCGGCCCGCTGTCCCTGCGGACATCTCTCCATCTGCCGCGGCCGCGTGGGGCCCTCACGCACCCTCCTCCCACAGGCGCGGAGGAGAAGCCCACCATTGCGTTCGCCACCATCCCCGCCGCCAGCCGCGTCATCCAGACCGTGGCCAGCCAGATGGCCCCGGGGGTCCCTGGACACACGGTCACCATCCTGCAGCCGGCAGCCCCCGTGAGCATCGGGCAGCACCACCTCCCCGTCCGGGCCGTCACCCAGAACGGCAAGCACGCCGTCCCCACCAACAGCTTAGCCAGCAGCGCTTACGGTGAGGCCCGCTGACCCGCGCCCCCGCTTGGAGCTCGGGGCTCAGCCCGCAGTCACTGCGGCAGGGAGGACGCCTCCCCGGTCAGTCCAGCCAGCCGCGGGCACCGTCCCCCTGCAGAGCAGCGGTGCTGGGGTGACAGGGAGAGCGAAGTCCCCATCACAGGGCTCACTCCCGGCCGGGCGAGACCAGAGGCCCAGGGGGACACCCAGCAGCTTGCAGCACAGACGGGGGTGGCGGGCGGGGGGTTCCGCTCTTGGGTGGACGGTTCGGGACAGGCAGCATCTGCTCGTGACCTGCCCCTGGGTGGGGCTGGGGCCTCACAGGGGCAGCGAGAGCGAGGGGGGCACTGGAAGAGACCGGGGACGGCGTGCCCCGCGGGCGGACAGAGGAGGGGGTCCCGGAGGGGGACTCCCGGGAGTCCAGCCGAGGAAAGGAAGGTCAGCGGTGGCGGGAGCTGGCGGGGACCGGCACCACCGGGGCTGCTGGCAGCTTTGGCCCAAGGCGCCGGGGCTGCCGGGGAGCGGGTTCCCGGGTCCAGGCCGTCACGCTGGTCCTGACCAGCTCCCCGACACCAGTCTCCTTCCCCACCCCCCCACCAGCCCTCACCAGCCCCCTGCAGCTCCTGGCGGCCCAGGCCAGCTCATCGACGCCAGTGGTGGTCACCCGGGTGTGCGAGGTGGGGCCCGAGGAGCCCGCCGCAGCCGCAGCCATCGCCACCACCACCACCACCGCCGCCGCCGCCACCGCCACCACCACCACCACCACCACCCCCCCAGCCACCGCCACCACCTCTGCCTCCTCCACTGGGGAGCCCGACGTCAAGAGACCCCGGCTGGAGGAGCCCAGCGGGACGGGGGCCGCACAGGCCGGGGTGATCACGGCGGCCGGCCCGCAGGGGTCCGGGACCGGGGAGTGACGGTGCCCGTGGAGCTGGAGTGGGACGCACGCCGCGAGGAGTTGTGCCGCTGGACCGCGACGGCCGACCTCGCGGCCGCCCGGGACCGTGGCGGCGAGAAGGCCCCAGGCTGCGGAGCACGGTGCTCCTCGGACAGGACGGCCCGTCCGCCTGCTCCCGCGCTCGCCCGCCCCGCCGCCGCCCGTCCCCCGTCCCCCGTCCCCGCCGTGGTCGGCACGGAAACACATAAACACGTTCAGACAGCCGATCGCCTGGTTCTGGGGCTCTTTGTTCCCCCCGTGAGCACTGTCTGCGCCCCTGGCCCCCGGCTTGAGCAGCAGCCCGCGCCCCGGCGACCCCACAGACCAAGGCCCCCCGAGGGGAGGGCAGGGCGGCCACCCCCACCGCTGTCTGCTGTGGCCCGGAACCGGCCCAGGGAAGGCGGGCGCAATCGGACTTCTGACGGTTCATGGCATCCGCTCCCCGAAACGGACCTGGGAAGCATCGGATTGGCATTAACAGGGGGGGCGGGGAGCGGTCACTTTGGCTTCGGACCCCGAGTAGTTCTTGTTTGGTTTCAACGTGGCATCGGCCTCACCGACACCTGAGACACGCACAGAGGAACCGCCCGTCTCGGAGGCGCCCACCGGGAGGCGGGTGGCCGCCGCCGCGGCGCCCTGGCGAGGCGACTCCGCCGCCCTGTCTGCGCCCTTCCGGGGAGTCGCCGGCTTCCCGGTGGGTGCCGGAGGCAGAAAGCTGTGTGGAGGGCACATCCGATCTGCAGCCTCCCGCCCTCCGCCTCCCGCCCTTTGTGCGCCCGCGTCACGGAAGGCCAGCCCTGCGTTCTCCGTGGTCTTGACGCCCCGGTGCCAGCGATCACCACGCACGCCGGGCACGGAGCAGAGCCGCTCTCTGCCGCTTCACCAAGTCGTCTTACCCACCCGCGGGCACCGGGGACTGGGGGTCAGTCAGTGTGGGGCCGGAAAGGCGAGGGGGCCTCTGGGAGGAGGCCCTGGCCCTGCCACGGGGGGCACATCCGAAAACAGCAAACGCAGAGCTTCGGAAGTCCCGGCAGGCCGGCCCCCTTCCCCGCAAAGCCTGCCTGTCCTCAGCCTCCATCTCCACCAGCAGCCACCTGCCTGTAGCCCCACGCCCGAGGGCAGCGCGGCCTCTCTGCGGGTACCTGAGGGGATGAGCCGGCGGTCTCCCCAGCTGGGACCCGGTGGGCAGGCCTTGGCTCCGGAGGAGGGGACTGGGGGGCGTGATCTCAAGGCAGCACGAGTGTGACTGGCCCCAGGGCCCCCCGCACCCACCACCGCCAGTCGCTGTGGACACGTGCAGAGCGTTCTCCGCCCGGACCGACCGGGCGTTTCCATGGCACTAACCCCTCCGCGGGGAATACGCTCTTCTGGGAGGTCCAGGCGTCTCGGACGGATGGACAGACGGGATGCAGACATGCCAGTGTGCGGCCTCGGGCACAGCCGCCCCTGCAGCCGCAGGGGACGTGGGGTCGCGTTCCGTTCCACGTTCCACGGCGGCGTCTCCTGCAAACTCTCCCAAGCGTCTGGTGCGCACACGGGAACGGGTGGGCTCGGGCCGGGCCAAGGCCTCACCGTGAGGGTCCGCAGCAGCGAGGGGTCCAATGCGGCTTCATTATCATTTCATCCGGGGACGCGCTTGCTCTCGGACCCCCGGACCACCGCAGGTTCGCCTCCTCGGGCCATGGCGTTGTCCGCAGAGACAGACAGGACTGCTGGCCATGGGCGGCCGTCCGCTTGCTGCCTGATGTGTCGGGGCATGGCTCCGGCCCCTTGCTTTCCTGGCCTTCGAGGTGGTTTTTTTACCTGTTTTCACCGATGACCCCGCTCTATGGCCAGAGGCGCAGGGAGGAGGGAGGAGAGGTGGGTGCGTGGAACTGGGGGCAAGACCAGGTTCCGCCGGGCGCCGTCCTGCCCCATGGAGAGCTCCGTTGCTGCGGGGTCCGCCCCGACGCCAGGCAGGGTGGGGACGGGGGGCCCAGGCCCCGGGGAAGCCGCCACTCTGGTCCGCAGACACCAAGCCCTGAACAGCTGAGTTTCCCGGCCACACAGCACGCCTGGCTGGTGCCGGCATGTGCCCTAGGCCTGGCCACCGGCGGCCCTGGAACAGCCAGCACCCAAGGAGGTGATACACGGCACAGCCAGAGAGGTGGCCCGGGGCCCTTGGGGTCCAGCGACCTCTGACCTGCCATGAGCGTGGGCTGTGGAGGGCAGGCGACCCCAGCCAAGGATGGAGCAGCAGAAGGTCAGTTCGGGCGCAGTCCTGAGTCACCGCGGCACGAGGGTCCGGGAACCTTCTCTCGGGTCGCCCGGGGGCTGAGTCTGGGAGAAGAGATGGTCCAGTGAAGGGTGCTGGCGGGGCCCCGGGGCCCCTGCGGCTGCGGCTCCCCCCGAAATCTCACACACACGCGCGCGCCGCCCGGGGCCTGCCGACCCGCCAGCTCTTCACCCGGCGCTGAGCGCAGAAAATCACTGCGGGGGAGGAAGTCACAGAGTCAGTCGTTCACGCAGGCGGGCGTCTCCCAGGAGGCGACGGAGTGTGACGTTGGGAGTGACAGCGTCGGCCCGAGAGCACACCTCTGCGGCTCTCCTCCACAGGGGAGCTGTCCCGGGAGGCTCGACCCTGGGCAGGACGCACGCGGACCGGACCACCCTCCCGCCACGGGCTGTACTGCTCCCTCCAGGGTCCGCCCAGCCCCCGTCCAGGTCTCTCTGCTTCAGAACCAAGCCGGACGGGGGAAGGGGAGAAGTCCCTGAGTCGCCACAGGGAGGACTCGGTGGCTGTCGGCCAGGAGGGACCGGGGTCGCGGGTCCCTGCCTGTGCCTCCCTGGTCCTGGCAGAAGATCGGGCGGAGGTCACGGGGTCATTCCCCGAATGCTGTCATTCCTTCCTGGAAGGCCCTCCCTCTGCAGGGGGCGCTGCAGGCCCCGCTGTCTGTGGACGGAGCCCCGCGGGGGTGGTCCAGAGTCCGAGAGGAGGAGGACGAGGGTTCCCTTGGCTGGGGGCCGGTCTCTCACTCACAGAGACGGACAGCGGACCTCCCCGGGAAAGCGGACACCGCGCTGGGCGTGAGCGCCAGCCGGAGAAGGGCGACCCCCCGCGCTGCGGCGCCGGAACTCAGCCAGGACAGTCGGTGCGGGCGAAGGCCCTGTTTTTCTCCAGAAGCTTCAAGTTCTGCTTTGCCCTCGAGCGACACCGGGGGTGGAGGACTGTCGCCATCGTGGGGTTCGCACCCGCAGCCGGCCTCTGCACCCCCCGACCCCGCTGAGAACAGCTCCCCCGGACACACTCCGCGGCGCCGGGCCCGTCAGCTGCCTCTGCCCCGACGCTGGGCACACCGTGCACTACTCGCTCTAGAATAAGTTACCAAAAATGAATGTGAGCCTCTGCCCGGGAGGAGAGCCGGGGCGGCTACTGGAGCCCTGGGTCCAGGTCCGGGCCGCCACAGGGGCTCCCCTGGGCCTTCTGAGGGGGCGCTCCCCGCAGCCCCCCACTATACCTCTGCCCGGAAGGGACACTCTTCACTCAGAACTACCCGAGTCGCTCCGGCGTGCTGCTACGGGGGCGGGGTGGGCCTGCAGGCGGCCGGTGGGGGTCGGGGCCTGGGGCGAGGAGGGCAGGACTGGGCCGGCTTCTGTCCGCTCCTTCCAGACTGCTGCTCTCTGTGTTTTACAAATCCCTTTCGTTTTTAAGTTCCTCTCCCGGGGCCTCGTTTTCCACGTTCGGGTTTTTCAAGCGCTCAGGATGCGGCTCTGGCCCCGTGCGCACAGCTAGGAGGTTGCCACCTGCCTCTCCGTCCCACGCCAGCACTGCTGCCTGTGGGGTCGAGGGAGGGGCTGGGTCGGTGCTGGCGGGGGCCTCGGTGGCACGAGGGGCCCGGGAGCGCCACCATCCTCTCCGGAGCTGCTGCTGCTTCTGCTTCCCCTACTGCCCCCCCCACCACCTGACCCAGGGTGAGAGTGGGGTTTGGGGGTGCAACCCCAAGCACTTCTTCAGAGCTAAAGTAAGAAATGGGCCCATTTCACTGTTCAGAGAAAATGGTTTTAGTGTTAAAAAGGAAGGAGGGTCAGTTGCTGAGCTGTCTCCTGACCCTGTGGGCTTCGCAGGCCTGTTTGGGGGCGTCTCCCAGAGGGCCCTCTCTAGCCGGGTCTCAGCCCACCCCCCACCCCCCCACCCCCGCTCCACTGCAGCTCTGCGGCCAGTGGGCTGCCCCTCCCCCGCCTGCGGGGCCCCGTCTGCAAGGAGGCCGACTGGGGTGGGAGCCCGGGCGTCACCGAGGGTGCCACCTGGTGCGGGGCTGCGCCGGCTTCCCGCAGGGGTCGTGAGAAGGTTCTGGAGACACAAGGCAGTTAAACGGCGTTGAGCGGTCAGGAGGACTCCCTTCTCCAAGGCTGACCAGCCGAGCTGCCATCACACTCAGGGGGTGTCTGCACCGGCCGCCGCGGGAGCCGGGTCCCGGGTCCCGGGCGTGCGGCTCCCGCTGGTCAGCGACAGGAGGCCTTCGTCAGGTGCAGCGCTAGGGGCGAGCACCTGCCTGCCCTTTTCCGCAGGGCTGAAGTGAAAATCTCTCCTTTGAATTCGTGAGCCGTGGGGGTCGTCTTAATGCCGGTGTTGGCTGCTCCCTTTTGGAGGAGAGTGAAGGGAGCAGCCACTTGACCTCAAGGCACCTCTCGCCAGGGGGAGACCCACCCGCTTGTCATCCTGACGGCCATTGGGAAAGCTCCGGGGCCAGCAGGGGGCAGCAAACAAGCTTCCTTGTTCTGGTTGGCCTGGTGCTGCTGGCTGCCCGGGACCCACGTGCCCCCACAGGCGGGCGGCTTCAGGTCACTCCCCCCAGGTTTCAGTCACCACGTCACCTGTGAGGGTGACTGGAGAGTTACCCTCGCCTTTCTGCCCCGACCCAGGTATTTTGAGTCCAGACAGAATTGGAAGAATTTTGGTCCTTCACTCTCGACTCGGGAACCTTCTCTGGAATAGTTTGCGAATTTGATTCATCCCAATGTTGACTGGTGGTCGGCCCCGTCAGAAATCATGGGCAGGGAAGCGGAGGGCAGGCCAGGCCCAAGGGCCCCCCAGCAGTGAGGCCTGCGGCGTGGTCCGGCGCATTAAGAAATGTGCTCTTCCCCGGGAGGTCCCACCCGCGACAGGCAGACCCTGCCGGGCCGGGCTGTGTCCCAGGGCTGAGCTGGAAGGGGGTCTGAGGTCAGACTCTGAAATGGATGTTCCCCACCCCCCACAAGGCCTGATGGGTAACAAACACACTGCGCCTGTGACCTCAAGCTCTCAGCCCCCACGTTTTGGGTTCACTGGTCCAGGTTTTTTCCTCTTAATCAGTAAAAAATGGGATTTAAACTCAAACATGTTAAGCTTGGCCCTCCCCTCCTTCCTGGTGCGTCTTAATTTACTCAGTTCAAGTTCTGCCAGGACGGGGTGGGGGGCGGCGGGGAGACGGATGCACCCCGGACTCTGTCTCAGAGCCGCCGAGTGCACACCCAGCAGCTCGGTGCACGCGAGGGAGCACTGAACCCAGTACTGAGATTTTTTTTTTCCTTATGAGACTGCTAATTCTCCTGTAAAGGTAACGTGGGGGGGTGGGTGCTGTTAGGGTGGTGTGTGCGAGCGTGTGTCTTTTTTTTTTTTACAGTGGCTGTCTAAAGTGTTTTTTACAATACGTTTAACAATCAATGCTTTAAGAGTATCCGTGGTATCCCACCAAGTGGAAATTCAGGTTCTCGGGCCTTGGGTGTGAAGACGAGGTCCCGTCATGGCGTCTCACCACCTGCGAGCATGGTCCGGCCTGGGGGCCCGGGGAGGCGAGCAGAGCCACCCGGCCCGGCGGCGGGGCCAGCCTGCGTTTCCATTCCCAGTGGGATACAGTATTTTTTTAATAAGGAGCCATACTTTTTTTTTAAAAGTTTGAGATATGAATGTGATTTCTAATTATATCAGACATTAATGTTTTAAAGCTATAACAAAAGTTTAAAATTTCTACTTTTTGTTTTTCATTTATTTTAACTGTTCTTTTATCTATTAAATTGTTGTATGTGGATGGGGAAGTTTTGTTTCTCCTCTTAGCATTTGTTTCTATAACCTGAAATAAAATTATATATTAAAGCAATGACAGCCAGGCTCAGCGCGGTCTTTGTGGGTGATTGGCCGCCGCCGGACAGACCCGGATGGGCAGGCGGCCGCGCCACCCCCCCACCCCCACGGCGGCTGCCCCACCAGCGGCTCGCTCCAGGAAAGGGGCAACTGACAAAGGACGCGATCTGCGGAGGTGGCTTGAAAATCCAGGACTCGCGGGAGGGCCCGGAAGACCAGCCTGCAGCTCCAGGGACGTGGACAAACCAAGGGAGCCTCCCCCGCTCCCAGACCGGCGCAGATGTGGGCCTCCCGGTCCTTCCATGCGTGTTGTTCCGGTCCTGAGGCGGCCGGGCAAGGACTCTGCAGTCAGACAGCCCGGGTGCCAGTGCAGCGGCGGGGCTTGAACCTGCGAGAAGCCTCGTTTCCTCCCATGCGCAGTGGGCACCCCAACCTCACAACAGGTTCTGCAGACCTGGTGACGTCGTTTGCGGTGAAACCAGCCTCTTTCCACGGTGCCTGCCATTTTCACAGTTGAGTCATCTTAAGACGATGCTTGGGTATGTCTCCTGCACACTGCCTCTGACTCGGGGTTTAATAAAAGTGCTTATCACAAATACGTGTCATCAAGCTTCTGGGCAGCACTTGACACTTGGCCTCTGCAACACCACATTCTCAGATCGCTTGCTCCTCAGCTGGCAGTGGGCAGAGCGGCCGCGATGACCTGGGATACAGCTGCCGGGTCAGGTGCCTCCTCCATGTGCAGGGTGTGACCTTGGCCCCTTCACCATTTTTTCGGCTTCAGGCAGTTCAGCCTTCAAATAGTGCTAAACGAGCCTTCTCAGAGCTGTCCTCCGGGTCAGAAGGGCTCACGGATGCACTGCACTTAGCAACGCAGCAGGCTTCCCCTGGAGACAGCCTGTAACCCGCGCCCTCCGCCAGCTCCCTTCCCTTTCCTGCCGCAGCTGCCGCCGCCCCCTGCTGGGCGGGCCTCCCGCACCCCATGACGCTTTGTTCCTGAAACAACCTAGAACGGGGACCCGGCGCGCCCATTCGGAGCTGTCCCGAATCTCGCGCGCCGGGCGCGGATGCTCCGGGCGTCCCTCTACCGAAAGTGCCCAGAAGCCAACCAGAGCCCGCGTCCTGGGCGCAGAGGCCCGCCCCTCGAGACCCTGCCGGATCCCATTGGTCGGCTGCCTGTCCGTCCTGCCCACGTGACGCGGCACGTGACCACACCCGGAACCCGGACGGGCTACCTGCAGAGCTAGCGGAGTCGCCAGCGGCTGGGGCGCCGGGGCCGCGTCTCTAGGCGGCGGCGGAGGCGTGATGTTCTCGGCGGCGGCGGAGAGTCTGCTCCGCCAGGCCAGGTGCCCGCGCCTTTCCTCGGGGCGCCTGGTGGGGGTCTCAAAGGGGGCCAGGGCGCGGCGACCCGGAAGAGCCTGTCTCGCCCCGGTTTCGAGACCTGGGGGACCGGGAAGCCTCGCCGGCCAGGCTCGGAGAGGCGAGCTCCGGGGAGGGTGGAGCCGGTCCGGAGGAGGTGGCGCCTGCGCAGCGTCCTGAGGATGCGTGGGTCTGCAGAGGGGCTGGGTTCCCGCCGATTGCTCGATCAGAAGCAGGGTGGGTGGCCAGGAACTGTCGGCCGAGACTCAGCTGCACCAAGATCAGCAGCACAAAGCCCCAGAGAGGCCGGAGGGCCGGTGGGCATGGAGCCGTGGCGAGCTCTGTGTGTGCCCAGCTCGGGAGCTGGGTGCTGTCTGGGGCCTGTCTGTGGGCATGGCTCCCCTGCTGGGTGCGTGGGGGGGGGTGAGAAATTGCCCACCGCCCTCTGCCCCGCTCTGGCTCTGGACTTCCCCTAACCAGCCGGTCCCCCTTTCTCACCAACTAACCGGTGACTGGGGCGGGGGGGGGGGGGGACTAAAACCCCGCCGCCCATCGGACTCGATGCTACTTGTTTGTAAGGGGAAATGCAGTGGGAACCACAAGCCCCTGGTAAACTTTAAAAAAAGGAAAGAAAAGGAAACTGGGTTCTGAGCTGGACCAGTTGGTGGGAAAGGCGCTGATTGGCTGAGGCTGCTGTGATCCTAGTGGAGAGACGTTCTTGAATGCAGGTTTCGTTCTAAAGGCTGTGAAGGGGGTATCGGTCCGCTGTGGTCACAGACCCCTTGAAAATCTGGGAGGAATGCCCCGTGAATCCTCAGCTCCGTCTCCCGACAAGCCAGCAGAGCCTGCCTTTCCTTCAGTATCGGCAGACGCTCCAAAGTTCAAGTCCCGACATTGCGGGTCACGTTCCCACAGTCTAATCCCAGTCCCCTTGCCTTTAGGGACTGTATTAAATGAAAACACCGATAGGTCTCTTTAAACCCTCGCACCTCACTCAGCAGGGGACACGCTCGCCGCGGAGGTCTCACAAACAGACACGTAAGAACTGAGAACCACTCAGGGCCCCACTGAATTTCCCGAGTCACCTCCTGCCCAAGGTCGTGTGTCTGTGGGCCGAGAGGCGGGAGGAATAGCCCTCACTGTTCGAGCTCTTGCTCCTCTGTCCCTGTCCCGGGCGGGCGGCTGGATGGAGGGCGTGAGTCTCATATATATATATAGGGTCTGTCGCCTAGGGTTTGGGGGAAGTTATTAGCTATCAGGTCTTTGCTTTATGTTGCCAAGTTTTGGGAGTTGGGATTAGGAGTGAATTTTAATATCGGAGTCCTTCAAAGATGGAAAGCAAAGGGGGAAACGTTATCAGGAATATCTCTTGTAAGCTAAGAAGAGGTGACGCAGGTGGGCTCTGGATGGGGGCGGGGACGGAGGTGTGCAGCAGGTCTGGGAGGTTTCCCAAAGGACAAGACAGCGCGTCTGAAGTGCAGCGCAAGTGCTCCCGGTGGAGGGCCAGAAGCAGGAGGGAAGGACTCGGTGGCTCCTGGGGGTGTAAGGTGGGGCCCGGGGTCCCGGAAGCCTCGTCGGTGGCTGCAGGAGCTTGGGTCTGAGAGCAGCAGGGAGCTGCGGACGGGGTGGCGCAGACCGGCCTTCTAGAAAGAGCCCTGTGCTTTGGAGACGGCCCTGGAAGGGGCTGGTGAGGGATGAGGCGCACCACCGGCTGGGGGAGAGTCTCCGACGTAACTGCGAGCAGCCCGGGCGCTTCCCTCTCGGTCTCGTCAGCCCAGTTGGGAACAGACCTGGACCCGGCCCCGGAGGAAGGGCGTGGGTGGGGGGGAGGGGCGGGGGTGCATCCACCGGGGTTTGTCTGCCAGCCTTCAAGGGAGAAGCTGCCCGAGGGCCCGCCTTCAAGGGAGAAGCTGCCCGAGGGCCCCACCTTTGGGTGCCCGTCACACCTTGTCAGCGCCGGAGGCCAGGACGCCCTGCCTGTCTCGGCTCAAGAGTCCCGCGAGCTCATGCACCTGAGCAGTTGCAAAGGGACTGAGTGGGCTCCAGCCCCGACTCAGGGTGGGCACGTGGCGGGCACAGCCACCGAGAGCCCCCCAGAAGCCCCCAACGTACTGACTCACTGGGGTGTTATGTCTTCTTGCCTCCTGGACTGGGGCAGAAGCCTACAAGCAGTTGTCCACTGTGAGACCCTCCGGCAGCTTGCCTGTTGCCCGTGCTCAGTACGCGGGCACTTTTAATTAGTGAGCGAATTGAGTACTGGAGTCGGGAACCATGGTAGGCTAGCCTGACAGCGTGCCATAGCCTCTGCCCTTTGACCTGTTAGATTTAACTCATGTTCCCTGAACTCGGGGTAAGGGCTCCCCGAAGGAATCTCTTGAAAAGCCACTTGCTGCAGGGTAAACCTCCCTTACGTCGGACCCCTAAACTCGGTCCGTCTTAGTTCTCCCGCCCCCGGAAGAAAGTCCGAGTGTGTGGAGTCTCCGTCAAGAAGGTTTGTCGTCGTCCTATGTGGGGGCGATGGTGTCCGCAGCAGCCCTGGCCGGCGGGGGACGGCAGTGGCCCCTGGACCGCGGAGCCCCAGGGAGAGGGGCTGGATCAGAAACCCCGGCGGCGAGTTTGTCCCGAGAGGCGTGCGGACGGCGGAACCGCCTTCTTCCCGTGACGCCCGGGCCCCTCTCTGCCCCGGGGGAGTGGGGGGACTTCCCCTGCGTCCTGGAGCCGTCCTCATAGCGCAGGGCGGCGCGTGGGGCCCTAACACAGTCGCTGGACGCCGGGCTGCTGACGAGGTCCTCTCGGTGCAGGGACATCCGGGCCGAGGAGCTGGAGAAGTTCTGTTCCCGGGCCGGCCAGCTGCTGCGGAAGGAGGACTCGGGGCCCGACGCCACCCAGGCCCTGCGGAGGCTCTTCCTCATCGTGGCGGCCACCAAGTACAGCCGCAAGTGAGTGGCGGCGTCTTCGGGTGTGCCTGGCGGGTGGCCTTGCAGCCTGCGTCCGCTCAAACCGGAGCAGACGGTCCTCAACTGGAAAAGTTCTCCCCACCTGCCCAAGGGACCGGTCCGCCTCCCTGGGGTCCGAGGGCGGCGCGGGGGGCCGGGCCACGTGCCGCGGTGTGACCCGGCGCGTGCGCCCTGTGGCCCGGTCGTCCAGGCTGGAGGAGGCGTGTGTGGACCTGCTGCAGAGCACGCTGCTGCGGCCCACGAGCCCCGAGCAGCTCCAGCTGCTCTGTGCCGCCGTCCTGAGAGAGATGGCGCCCCGCGACGGCCTGCACCTGCCCTGGGACCACATCCAGGACACGCGGCAGCTGAGCCTGGTGGCCTCTGTCCTCTTGGCCCAGGTAGCGTGACTGTCACCGCCCAGGCTGGCCACCCTGCCCGCGGTGGCCCGCCCTGGGGCCCCAGGAGAAGCGGCATGCTGGTGGGCAGTCCCCATGCGGGGGGGTGGGGGGGCTCCCTTCTGTCACCGGTCTGCACGGCCACCTTGGCGGAGCCTGAGCTCCGATGTATCTGGATGGGGCAGAAGCCCCACCCCCACCCTCCCCGTCTCTCCCTCCTTCCCTGGGCCCCTAGGGAAGTAGCCAGGGTTCCATGGAGGCCAGTCCAGGCCACGGGGCCTGGGCTGCTCGGGTGACTCTGGGGCACCTGGAAGAGGTGGCATTATAGCATTCATGACGCTAACGGGTCCCTCTCCAGATGGTTTCAGACCAAATGGCCTGTCTCTCAGGCACTCGGGCACGTCGGCCCTCCCCTGGTGCCCCACCTGTGTTTACTGTGTAGGGCGACAGAGCGCAGGTCAGCAGGGTGGGCCAGCGAGTCTTCAGAGTCCTCGAGAGCCGGCAGCCCGAGGGGCCCAGCCTGCGGCCCCTCCTCCCGGTTGTGTCCAAGGTGGTCAGCCTGGCCCCCGGCAGCCTCCACGAAGGTACCCTGCCCTCCCGAGAGGCCTGGGCCGCAGCGCCGGGAGGAGCCCCTGTCAGGGCCGGGGGTGTCCACATGGGCATCGGGGGTGCCTGGGGGTACGGGACTCCGGTGGGAGCTGCTGCTGTTTTCCGGGAAGGCCTGGGCGCCTGGGCAGCTGGAGCCCCGTGGGGGGCTGGCCCGGTTTCCCACGCACTGTCCCTGCCCCCTGCAGACCAGACCAACCTGCTCAACAGGAGGCTGGGGGACTGGCTCCGCTACGCCGGCCTCCAGCAGGGCCCGGCGCCCTCCCCCGGGGGCTTCTTCTCCGCGCCCAAGGCCCGGCAGGTGAGGCGGAGGGGCTCCCGGTCCCTGGGTGTCCCCGGGGCCACCTCAGCCAGCCCGGCCTTCAGGGTCCTGTGGACGCTTCCCATCCTGCCTTTCCACCTGCTGCGTCCCGGGACGGCCCTTCTCTCCTGCCTCCAGCCAGTGGGGGGCGCGGGCGGAGATCGGGGGCGCAGAGGGTCCCGGCTCCCCAGCCTCCGACACCCTGCGCGTCCGCTGAGGGCCAGGCCAGCTGGCAAGGGTCACTTGTCCGGCAGAGGCCAGCATTCGCGCGTCTTGCAAAGGGGGTGCCCCAAGTTCCAGAAGGCAGGGGTGGGTGAGCCCCTCACCTGCCCAGTCTCAGCCCTGCCCCTGCCCAGCGCCGCCCCCGCTCCCTTCCTCCCCCATCGCAGCCAGGGACCGTCACCGAGGTCGACGGGGCCCTCGCCACCGACTTCTTCACGGTGCTGTCCGTGGGCCAGCGCTTCACGGAGGACCAGCGGCTGAACGTGCAGGCCTTCTCCATGCTGCGGGCCTGGCTGTGGCACAGCGGCCCCGAGGGCCCGGGCGCCCCGGACGCAGGTGGGACCCGGCAGCAGCCCCTGGGGGACGTGGGCCACCTGGGCTGCGCCGCACGGGCGCCAGCAGGCCCTCCCCGGATGCACGGAGCAGTCAGGAGCCGTGCAGGGCGGCTCCTTCAGGCAGCCGCCCCGAGTCCCTTCTCCTCCGGACTTACGGGGGGGCAGCGACCTCAGCCACACCGAGGGTGTCCAGGAGGGGCGGGCGGCCAGTCAGGTGGGCCTCCCCGAGTACAGGGCCCAGAGCCCGGGGTGACTACGCTGCTGAGCGGCCCCGTCCTCTCCTGCAGATGACAGGTCGGAGCTGGAGGGCTCTACGCTGTCCGTGCTGTCCGCCGCCAGCCGCCCGCTGCCGCCCCAGGAGCAGCTGCGGGAGAGGGCCTTCGAGTACTGCCAGCGGCTCCTGGAGCAGAGCACGCGGCGTGAGTGCCCGGCGCTGGCCGCTGCCGCAGGGCTGCACCGTGGGGGCCGGGACCCAGCAGCTCCTTCTCCCGGGGTGGGGGTGGGGGTGGGGGGGGGGGCCCAGCACCGGACAGAACCCACCCCTGGCTCTTCCGGGCTCTGTCCCCAGCACCGGCCATGCCTGCCCCGTCCCTCCACTCCCGGGGGGTGGCCCACCGCCCACTCCTCCAGCTTCCAGCCCGCGGGGCGCCCTCTGTCCGGCCAGCTCGGTGCTGGTGCACTGACCGGTCCCCCCCCCCCCAGGAGCCCTGAGGAAGGGGGACGCGGACCTGCAGAAAGCTGTGAGTGCCCGGCGGGGGCGGGGGCGGGAGGGGGCTGTCCGGGACTCCCCCTCCGTCCACTGACCGCGGCCTGGGGGCGCCCCCGCAGTGCCTGGTGGAGGCCGTGCTGGTGCTGGACGTGCTCTGCAGGCAGGAGCCCTCCTTCCTGTACCGCACCCTCTCCGGCCTGAAGGCCCTGCACGCGCGGCTGTGCGCGGACCCCGCCTGCGTGCGGGCGCTGCTGCCCATCGCCCAGTTCTTCCTGAACCACGGTGAGCCTGGAGGCCACGCAGGGCCCCGGGGCGGCCGGGCCCCCCTCCTTCTCCTGGTGGGCGGCATGGTTCTTGGACGGACAGTTAGCAGTGGGGCGTGGCGGCCCTGAACGGTCTGTGTCGTTAGCATGTTACCGGCTGCACGTCGCTGTTGGAACGCGCTTTGCCACCATTGAGTCCAGCAGCTCCCAAAGAACGTTCCGCCTGCCGCTCCTCGGCGGGGTGGTCTGCGGCCGCCGCCGCTGGGGAAGGGGGACACAGCTCCATGCGTGTTTCTGGTGCCGGGGGACGTGTCCGAGCGTCCGGGGTCCGAGAGACACACGGGCCGCGGGGGCGGGGCCCGAGACCCCGGGCGCCCTCACGACGACCTCACGACGACCCGGGCCTTCCAGGGGAGGCGGCCGCCGTGGACGCAGAAGCCGTCTGCCAGCACGCGTTCGCCCGCATCCCCTCCGAGTTCTTCCACAGCCCGACGCTGGCCTTCGAGTTCGTCCAGTTCTGCAGGGACAACCTGCCCCTGTTCGGCAGGAACCTGGGCATCCTCAAACGGAGCTTCCCCAACCTCTTCAAGGCACGCTCGCACGCCCCCGGGCCGGAGCGGGGGGTTGGGGTGCCTGGGGCGGGGGCCGGGGGGGCACAGTGGTCCCATCTGGTCCTGATGCTCGGGCCCAGTCATGCCCAGGCCTCAGCGCGGGCGGCCTGGGGTGCAGGCGGAGGGCGAGCGGCCGGGCACCGGGTGTCCTTGCATCCCAGATGCTGCTCCCTTGGCTGTCGCGCCCAGCCCGTGCTGGCCCTTCTGGGAAGGGCAGATGCAGGGTCAGTCCTCCCGCAGCCCGGCACGCCCTCCCGCAGCCCATCTTGTGCGCTCGGCCCTGTGGTGCCGCTGGCGTCTGATGGGTCTTCCGTGGCTGGCGGTCACCGCGTGGCAGTGTCAGAATCACTGGAGACTCGGTCCCTCACCAGAGAAACGACCGTGGTGACACGAGGAAAGTGGTGGCACTGCCGGTGCAGAAGCGACGCAGGGGCAGAAAGACTAGTAACAGGCGGCAATGGAAGGGGCGACTTTCAGACCCCGGGTCCTGGTGCAGTAGGAGGAGGCGGGGGCCAGGCGGACCCCCAGACGAGGGCGTGACCTGCTGGCCCCCCCGTCCCGCTGGGGCCAGCCACGGCCCTGCCCCCGCGCTTCGGGGCCCACGGGCAGCCTCCTGGGGCCCGCCCGAGCCGCCCCGCCCGTCCCCACAGCTCCTGGCCTGGAACAGCCCGCCCCTGACCGCCGAGGTCGCGGCGCTCCTCCCTTCGCTGGTGGACGCCAGCACAGCCGCAGAGATGCTGCACGCGCTGCTGGACCTGCCGTGTCTGACCGCGGCCCTGGACCTGCAGCTCAGGTGGGACCCGCAGCTCAGGTGAGCCCCGCTCGCTCCCGGGCACGCGCTGGGCCCTGTCCCCACCGCCCCCAGCACGGGCCCCCCCCCCTCGTGCTGCCCCTGCCGTTCCGCGCCCCGCACTCCTGGCGCCCACTGCCGTGGCCCCCAGCCCGTCCTCCGTCAGCTGCGGGGGCCGGCCCCCAGCCCCTTCTGGTCGCCCCGCTGGGCCAGGGTGCTGTGCTGTCACGGTGACACCTGCTCGTGGCTTTCCTTGACCAGCGGGTGCCCGTGAGGGCCGGGCCGCATGCAGCCCCGGCGGGAGCCGCATCTGAGCCCGGCCTGGGCGTCGCTCCTCCCGCAGGGCGTCGCCGGCCGCGTCGGAGAGGCCGCTCTGGGACGCCTCCGTCCGGGCCCCCAGCTGCCTGGAGGCCTTCCGCGACCCGCAGTTCCAGGCCCTCTTCCGGCACCTCCTGCGAGCCGAGGCCAGCGGGACCGCGGAGAGGTGGGGTCCCTCGGGCTGGCGGCCCCTGGGCTGGGCTGTGGTGTCCCATCTCCCCCCCCCTTCCCCCGGCCTAGTGCCTGCTCACCTGGAGGGGCCGCCGCTGTCGCCCCAGCCCCACAGGCCACGGTGCCCGGCCCTCGGCTCTGTGTTACTCGGGCCAGCCCTCACAACCCCGCGAGGTGGGCGCCCCGGTGACTCCGTCCTGCAGATGGAGGAACTGAGGCCTGCACCCGTGGGAGGGGGAGACGTGGGCCTGGAGCAGGGCCTCTCTGCCCCAGACGGCTGCCTCAGCCCCGGGCCAGCCCCCTGGTGCCGGGGAGCAGGTCTTCCTGAGGGGCGGGAGGCCCAGCGCAGAGGCGGACCCGGAGCACGGGCTGTGCAGGGGGAAAGGCGACCTCCTGCGGTGTGGGCGTGCCCCTCGGACCCCCGTGTCCCCGCAGGCACCGGCCCGTGGGGTGATGGGTTCGCGTGTTCGGAGCGTGGCCCCGGGCACCAGGCAGGGTGGGGGTGAGGGCAGGGGCTCAGCGGGCTGCCCCCGTGTCCCCAGGTCGGCGCCCCTCCACCAGCTGCTGCAGCCCATGGCCGGCTGCGCCCGGGTGCGCCAGTGTGCCGAAGCGGTGCCCACCCTGCTCCAGGTGTTCTTCTCGGCGGTGGGGCAGGTGAGCCTGCTGCCCGGGCCCTGCCCACCCCCAGGGTGTCCCCCCCCTCCCCCACAGCGCACAGCGGGGGGCCAGCCAGGACCGGACAGAGCTCACCGTGAGGTGTTCACTGGGGCGGGCGGGGGGGGGCGGGGGCTGAGTCTTGTCTCTCGCTCTCCACCCCAGTTCGCCGACGGGGCCCTGGCCGGCCAGCTGGCGCGGCTGCTCCTGGAGCGGAGTGACTCGCTGTACCCGGTCCCAGGGTACGAAGCCCACGTGCACAGGTGTGTGCCTGCCCTCGGCCTCCGGGGGCCTCCCCCGCTGGCCCTCCGGCCGCCACAGCGCTGTTCCCAGGCCCAGTCGGGGGGGGGGGCAGATCCCCCTGCCCCAGACCCAGGGGGTCCCCTCCCCCGACCCCAGAGCCTTCCAGACCATGGGTCCTCCTTTCTGAGGGCCTAGCACTCACCCCCCTCGGAGGACAAGGACCGAGGACGGAGCCGCCCCAGCCTCCTCCCCGCTGGGGGGAGAGGCTCCTCCAGGGGCCGGAGCTGTCCTCCCGTCCACCCGGCGCCCAGGGCCTTTCCCGTCCGCCTCCTGGCCCTTGTCGGGGCGGGGGCAGGGCTGGGCGGGCGAGGGCCGGTCTGCGGCCCACCAGTGTCCTCTCCGGGCAGGGTGCTGGGCTCCCAGTTCCTGGCCCTGTGCCAGCGGCACCCCTCGCTGGTGGTGGAGCTGGCGAAGGAGCTCCTGGAGTTCGTGGGCAGTGGCAGCGGCGTGCACGGCGGCGGGCACGTGCTCACGTCGGTGGTAAGCCTGGGCCGCCCGTCCCCCGCCGGGCCCGGCAGTCCCAGTCGGGGCTGAGGTGCTGTCCCCACAGGTGTGGGCCATCGGGGAGTACCTGGCGGTGAGCTGGGACCGGCGCTGCACCGTGGACCAGATCAACAAGTTCTTCGAAGCCCTGGAGGCACTGCTGTTCGAGGTCACCCAGTCCCGCCCCTCGGCCACCCTTCCCAAGTGCCCCCCACAGCTCATCACCACGCTGATGACCACGCTCACCAAGCTGGCCTCCCGGAGCCAAGACCTGATCCCCAGGTGCAGGCCAGGGTGGGGGGAAGGGCCCGCCGGCTCCCTGTGGGGCAGGAGGGGGCTCTGCCGGCGTCCCAGCCCCGGAGGCCGGGACCCGGCGTCAGCACACGGGACTCTGGGAGAGTGCGGGTGGCGTGGGCTGCGTGGGCTCTGCCTCCTCATTTCTCCGTGCCGACGCCCCTGCCGGGGCTGCGTCTGCAGCTGACCTCTGGGACCTCTCGCCCCCAGGGTCTCCCTGTTCCTGTCAAAGATAAGGACCCTGGCGCAGGGCCCAGCCGTGGGCTCCCTGGGCTGCAGGGAGGACTCGGGAGCCGTCGGCAGGCGGGCCACGGAGCTGCTGAACCTGCTGAAGATGCCCAGCGTGGCCCAGTTTGTGCTCACGCCCAGCGCGGGGCTGTCCGAGCCCCGCTACCACCGCGACACCAACACCGCCCTGCCGCTGGCCCTGCGCACGGTCAGCCGGCTGGTGGAGAGGGAGGCGAGCCTCCTGCCGGGGTGAGGGCCGGCGCCAGGGCCCAGCCAGCGCTTCAGCGGTCGAGAGGCAACCCGGAGGGGCCGAGCCCGGGAGGCCCCGTGGGTGTCAGCACCCGGGGGCTGCCCAGGGCCCTCTCGCCCCGCCCTGGGGGCGTCTGTCTCTGAGCCCTCCCCTGGCGACCACGCCGGGCCCTGCAGAGAGGCGGCCCCGACCTGTGGCCCTGGCCCCGTGAGGCTGGACGAGAGCTGCAGGGAGAGATCCCACGGAAATAAAGCTGCTCTGGAAGTGTCTGTGTGGACGAGGCAGGACTGTTCCCTTCCGCCCTTTGGGCCCCTGCCCCCGGGGGAGAGGGCCAGGTCCAGGGGGTAGGGGACGGCTGGGACAGCCCCCTGCTGCTTCCATCTGGGGGGCGCCGTCAAGCGCTGCTGGGAGGGCTGGCCCTGTGACGGAAGGGACGCCTGCCTGGCCTGCGGGACACCCGGGGTCGCTCCTTCCCACCCAGTCCCGCGTGTGCAAAGGCGGACATGGGTCAGCCCGTGTGCAGGTGTTCTGGGAGTGACAGACAGATGGCTGACGCCCGCGGTCAAGGACTCTGTGTGGCCCCCCAGAAGGGACAGCGTTTGGTCAGTGCGCTCCTTCGTGCACCTTCCTTCCTACACTCCCGAGCAGCTCAGGCGCGCAGGCTGGGGCCCCAGGGCTTCCGGTTGGGTGGGCTGCGGGTGTGGTCACCTCGGCCTGCCCGCCGCCGCCTGGAGGGCAGGCCCACCAGGCAGGGGCCTCCGCAGGGAGGGCTCCCAGCGACCGCGACCCCTGGCCGCCCGGAGCTTTACCCAGAGTAAATCCAAGTTCGCTCTGGGATTACCCTCAGCGGGGAGACGCTCGCTCGCCGGCCTGCTCGGTTGGTGGGGCGAGAAACGGCCCCAGCTCCATTGCTTCCTGGCCCTTTCCATTCAAGTCCGCGGCAGGCCTGCAGATGCGCTCCTCGGCCGCCAGGTGGCGCTACTGCTCCTTGAACCTCGAGCCGCGGCCCCGCCCCTCGCCGCATCCCGCCCCCCACAGGCTCCACCCCCAGCCCGTGTGACCTTCAGCCTGATGTGCCAAGGACATCTTGAACCCCAGACCCTGCCCACCGCCTTCCCCAGCCCACCCCCACCCTGCTTGGCCCGGGGGCTGGGGTAGGAGATGTGTTTATCAGGGTTCCGTGGGGTCCCCACTCGGCTCCGCAGGTCGCAGTGTCTCGGTCAGGTCATGGTGTGTCCCCAACCTTTGCGCCTCCGGCCTCCCTGAACTCGCGCCCTCTGACCTCAGCTGGGGGCCGTAGCATTTCTGTTCTCCCGGGCGCATGCACACAGTTGCTCCGGCTTCGGGGAGCGAGGCAGTGGGAGGCCCCGCCCGGCTGGGGGCTTCTGGGGCCAAACACTGAGCCGCAGCCGCCCGTGCGCCTCTCTTCTGTGCCCGCCAGGGGGCGGCATGGGCCCAGGGCTTGGGACGCACTAGGACCCCCAACAGCTTGGGGGGCTCCACCAAACCCCTTGCCCTCCAGCTGCTGCCTCTGCCGCCGACCAGCGGGACCCCCTCGTCCTTAGAGTCTCCGATCCTGTCAAAGATGAGGACCCTGACCCCAGAGCCCGGCCGTGGGCTCCCTGCGCTGCCAGGAAGACACGGGCCACCAGCCGCTGACCCTGCCGGAGACACGGAGGCAGGTGACCAAGGCCCCTGTCACTGCAGCACCAATACAGCCCTGCCGATGATGGCCCTGCCCCGTCAGCCGGTCACCCGCAGGCCGATGGCCTGGAGTCGGGGCCGCGCCGAGGCTGCCGTGGTCAGAGAGAGCTGCCGGGGTCCTGACACCCCGAGAGGCCCAGGGACCACGGGAGGCCACCGCCCTCGCTTTATAACCTCCCGGGGACTCTGGACCATCGCCGGGGCACTGTGCTAGCCTGCGGGTCCCAGGAGCAGCCTGCACGCTGCCGGGGGCTCTCGCCCTTCCCCAGGGGCCGGCCGCCCAGGGCGTCCCTGCGGCGCCCTGCTCCCAGGCGGGGGGAGGGCGGACAGTCAGTTAAAGCCGTTCTGCCGCCGCCATGCCCCGCATCCTCCCAGGGTCTCTCCCGCACTCGCTGGCGGGGGGTTACGTCCTGTGGTGGCCCCGCCCCCCACTCCGCAGCCCCTGGGCCCTGGGGGAGCCCAGCATGGCACCCACCCCGGCTCCTCGCACTGCCAGGAATACAAAAGATAGTTTATTGAACCTATTCATCTCCATTAAAATTTTCCAACGTAAAAGCTCTGTAGTAAACATCACAACTTAGTGTCATCTGTCGTATAAATAAAATATACACTAAGATGTACATTATCCACAGGGTGGGGGCGGCCAGTGTCCTCAAGGGGGCGCACCCGAGCCCTCGGGAGCGGCTCGCGGGGCCCCTAGGGCGGGGGCGAGCGGAAGCGGATCTTCTTGGCGGTCTCCGCGTCGGACTTGGCCACGAGGAACCGCATCTTCTTCCCCCCGTGGCGGATCAGGTCCACGGCTCTGGAAGCAGCGAGGGGTGAGGACGGGCCGACCAGCTCCCAGGGAGGGGCAGCGGAACCTCCTGGAGGTGCCCAGAGAGGGGGACCCAAGCCTCCTCCCCAGGGGTCCCCAGGGCACGGGGCTGCGTGAGGGCCCACCCCCACCCCAAGGGGCTCGGCCTCTGATGGGAGAGAGGGGAGGGAGTTGGGGGGTGGCCACAGAGAGCTGGGGGCGGGGCGATGACAGGGCCTCTCAGGGTCAGCCTGAGCCAGACCCCTGCTGCAGGCAGACCTCTCCCGGGGCCGCCTGGTGGCTGCACCGCCCAGGCTGTGGTGTGAGTGTCCAGGGTGGTGGGGGGGGTACCTCAGGTAGCTGACCCCGGCCAGGCTGCTGCCGTTCACCTCCAGGATGCGGTCCCCCAGCGACAGCTGGCCGTCGGCAGCTGCAGGGCTGCCCGGGAGCAGGGTCTGGACGTAGAGGCCGGGGGCGCCCAGGGGCGTGTGCTGCGGGGACACAGAGGCCTCAGAGCTCCGTGGCCCCGGCAGGAGGGCGGCCCAGCGACGGCCACCCAGGCCCAGGACGGACACGGAGGCCTGGGGACTGAAGCAACAGCAGGCGGGGGGGGGGGGGGCTCCTGCACAGCCCCCTCCCTCCCTTCATGCTCCACTCCAGGGAGACGCCCACCCAGTCCCCGTCCCTGGTCCCCGCTCCCCCCACCAGGGCCCGGAGCCCCAGCACCGCTCACCAGCCCGTCAATCAGCCCCATCCCCAGCCCGGAGGGGCCTCGCTCCAGCTCCACCAGGAAGACGGAGCAGAAGTCGTGGGTGCTGGAGGGAGCCGGGGGGAACTCGTCCTCGGAAGCCACGCGGTCTCCTGGGGGGTGGGGGGGGCAAGGGAAGGGGCAGGTGAGGGCCTGTGGCAGCCTGCACCTGTCCCCAGAGTCCGGGACCCTGGGACAGCGGGTCGGCTGCTTCTCCAGAGGAAAAGAGCTCCCGGACCTCCGTCGGGTGGGGGGATCGGGGACTACTTGTGGGTGACACCCCTGTGTGCCTGGAAGGGGCACCTGGGAACCCCCGGAGCTGTCCCAGGACACCAGCCTCTCTCAGAGACCGGCTGTTTCCAGGGGGCTGTGGAGCTCTGCTGAGGGCACACCCCGGTCTCCCACACCCCCTGTCCCCCCCCATCCACAGACCCCTCCCGATCCCCCTTCCCTCTCCTGCCGCACCTGTAGGTAGTGACCCCACGTCTGTCCCTCCCCTGAGTGTCCGACCCTGCTGACGGGGAGTTCAGGCTCCTGGCCCAGCACAAGGCCACCACGGAGTCCACCCCCTACAGAGCGGGGTTCTTCCCGTCCCTGGAGCCCCCACTCCCCACCCTGAGGGCCCTGTGCTTTCTCCACGAGGGCAGTTGTTGTGCCCACCCGTCCTCACCCCGCACCCAGGTGACCAGCCTCAGCAACCGCCCAGGCGACTGCTGCTCTCGGGACACACTCCAAGCTCCGCAGGAGCACCCAGGACTCGGGTCAGGGCGCATGAGGAAATCCCCCTGGGGCCAGGCCTGGCTGCCGGCGGGGGGGGGCGGGGGGCGGGCGCGGGGCACACTGCCCTCACGGCCTGCAGCCTCCGGCACTGCTCACGCCTGTGCCCACAAGCCCACCTCCCCGCACTCTGACCCTCCCCCTGCCCCAGGCCCCGGCCCTTGCGTCTCTGACTCCCGGCCCCGACGCCCGCGCGGTCCCTTCCTCTGCCCCGTGTGAAGCAGCGGCTCCGAGGGCCCCCGGCGGCCCCCAGAGCGTCCTGGCACCTGGGGCCGCAGGTGTCCACGGGCAGGGACAGGGCGCCCGGGGCGGAGCACACGCCGCCAGCACCTGGGGCTGGCGCAGGTGGGAGGCGGGGTGCAGCTCTCACCTTCCGGCGTCGCCCCTCGGAGGCCGCCTGGTCCGTCCCGCCTCCCGTCCAGGGCCGCCTTCCCACCGGAGCCGCCGGGGTGGGGCCAGTCGGGGAGCGCGGGCTCGAGCGGGGTGCTGGGAGGCGTGAGCAGGCAGGAGGAGTCCGTGTGCGGGGGGCCCCCGCGGCTCCCCCGGCCTGGCTGCCTTTCTGGGGGGCCCTGTGCCCGCGGAGCCCGGGGCGAGGGGAGAGGGTGTGCCGGGCCGCCTTCGAGAGCACCCCTGCCGGGGCCCCGGGGAGCCAGGGGGCAGCTCTGGCCCTCGGGGTGCCCCTCCGGGGCAGGGTGGTGCGGGCCCTGCGGGAGAGAAAGAGCTCAGGCACCAAGCTCCAGCTCCTGTCCCGGTGGGGGAGGCAGCGGCCCCCGGCCGTCCCTCCCGCTCTCCCAGGGCCAGCAGCCGGGCCCCGGGTCCACCCCGCCATCCCCGCCAGAGCCCCAGGCCAGCGGCTCAGCGGTACCTCAGGGCCCTGGGGCGGGGAGGCCCCGCCGCCCGGGCTGGGCCTGCTCTGCAGGCCCCACAGGAAGTGGCGCAGGTAGAGCAGGTGCTGGTAGACGCTCTCGTCCGGGCAGCCCGCCTCCAGGTCCACCTGGAAGCCCTCACTGGGCAAGACGATGGGCGGGGGGTTCTCGTAGGACTCCAGGACGTCCTCTGCAGGCGGGGCAGGACCACTTGGCCTCCGGCCCAGGAGGCCACCCACCCCTCCCGCCCCTGGGGGGCTGGGGAACAGGCAGACTGGCCTGCTGAGGACCACGGAGGGGAGCCCAGACCGGGGAGACCACTCGGGTCCCGCCTGGGAGTGGAGCCGCCCGGCCCACGAGCCTGCAGCCCTGAGCTGACACCTGGCCTCCCCCGGCCCAGGCTGACCGCACCCCCACGGCACCCAGGACCAGACCGCCGAGTGCATCATGGCCTCTGTACTCAAACGTGGGTGCCCTCCAGCCGGCAGGAGGGCTCTGCCCTCAGCGTGGTCCCGCCCAAGGAGGGGCCTACCTGACTGGAAGGCGTCGGGGCAGTCCTGGGCGGCCGGCTCCCAGGCGCTCATGGGGCCCACGGCGGAGGCCAGCTGCTGCTGGGTCAGGAGCCGGTGCAGCTGCGCGGGGCTCAGGGCGGGGAACGCGGCCCGCAGGTCTGCCCAGCCCATCTGGGGGACAAGGAGGCGCGCTTACTGTCCTTTCAGTTCCCCCACCACCGCACCGAGACCGAATCATTACAATTAATCTTTAACGTGGGACCGGAGTGATTCCCCTTCTGCATTCTTTATGTTGGCAACTTGCGTTTCCCCACTTTCAGTGAGTTTCTCGAAGAGTCGATTCTTGGCCCCACTGCTTTTATTCAGCATTCGCCCAACCGTTCAGGTAGCTCTGCGGAGAGCCGGCTCAGCCTCTGGCTGCCCTCGGCCGCGCGTCCGTCTGCCGTCCCGCTGGCCTCGGTCCTCCTCCACCGTCCCCCCTTTCCACTCGCGCCGGGCTCCCTCTGCTCCTCCTCCTGCCGCACAACCTTCGCCCGCGGCCTGCGCTGCCGTCTGACGCACACGCGGGCTATCGTTGCACCTGGCGGCGCTGCTGTTGCTGCGCCCGTGAGTGTGGCGCGCGGGTGTTCACCGTCGCCGACCGCCCGGGCCCGGCAGCCGGCACATTCCCACCTGTCCCGCCCCAGCCTGGTCTCCGGAGCCCGTGCTCAGTGTCCACGTCTCCCCTGCTCCGTGCCCTGCGGCTTCCAAGCCGTGTCAGACATCTCGAGGGGAAACTGCCCAGCGTTTCAGGCACCTCCGACACCTTGCGTCTGTGTCCCTAGCCCGTGAGATGGCCGAGGCCGTCGGGTCTCTCTGCCCCAGCCCGGCCCGGGGCCCGGCCGGACGACGCCCAGACCTTTGGTCACAGACCCCGCCTCCAGGTGAAGCGGACGCCCCCAGGGGGAGAGCAGCAGCTCCACGGGTCCCTCTCTGCACCTCTGCCGCCCTCGGTCCCCGCAGCTGCAGGAGCTCTCCGGGGCCTGGACGCAGACGCCCCCGTGCGGCGCCCCCAGCACAGGGCAGGCGCAGCCTGAGCTGCCGCACCTGCCTGCCGGGAAGGCCCCACTGCGCCTGCTCCGCCGCGGCCCACCTGCGCGAGGCTCCCAGAGGCACCCGGGGCCCACCACTCCGGAGCCTCTCGGCAGCTTTTTGGTGAACGGGGCTGCGTCTCCGGAGTCACTTTTCTCAGGTCTGCGAAGGCGGTGCCCACGCACGCTCTGCCTCCAGCTCCCAAAGCATCACCTTTCACTTCCACCGCCGGCTCCCCGTCCGAACGGCTCAGGTAGGTCAGAGGCATCGCTTTGCTTCTGTTTAGTCCCGCCTTCAGCCTGCGGCCCCCACCCACACGTCCCCGTGGCCTGACTTTCCTCCAGTGAATCGTGTTTCACCCTCATAACACAGGGAAGCAGCTTTGGTGAGGGCACTTGGGGAGGCTGCGGGCCCCAGCACGGGGCGGGCTCTCGGCGACCGCTGGGAGACCGGGGGGGCGCCCGGGCCGGCCTGGAGCCTTGGCTCAGGGCGCGCTGGCTGCGTGACCTCAGCTGGGCTGTCACGAGGCGGAGGTCACAGTGGGTCTCCCGTGGCCATGTGCCGTGGGGCAGAAATGAGAGGCACCTGCCAGGCCGTCCACGTTTCGTGGGCGCTCAGGAGGCAGCAGCCGTGCCGCTGTCACCGGCAGCAGCGGCGGGCACTCCCGCGAGGCTTCCTGGGCAGAGGCGGACCGCTCTGGGTTTCGTCCCGAGCTGAAGGTCCGCTGTCCCCTTGGGAACTTCATGCCGCGCTGGCCACACTGCCCACTCGGCCCGCACAGCCCCCCCTCCCCCGACTGCCCTGTGACGCTGTTCTGGCCCCTCCCGGGGCACGGCTGGGTTGTGCCAGCAGGAGGGGAACGCCGCTGGGCCAGCTTCATTGGGTTATCTGTGACGGCTGTGCCGGCAGCTGTGGGGCGGGGGGTGAGGTGGCGAATTCGTCCCCACAGCTGTGCTGCCCGACGGCTATAACTCAGCAGCTGGAGCAACGGGGGCGCATGCCTGCCGGTTCCGGGGCTGCACCCGGCCAGAACCCAGGCCGGCAGGGCCTGCCCTGTCCATCCGCGCAGCCAGAGCGTAGCCCCTCGCGGGTGCAGGGCCGCCCACGTCTCTGGCCGGCCTCCCGCTGGGGGCCGTCCCCGGCTCCCGGAGGCCACCGCGGTCCTTGGCCCAAGGCACGGGCTCCGCCGCAGCGGGCCGGGTCCCTCTTTTCCCCTCTGTCCCGTCTCTGGTCTCTCCTCCGGTCCTCTTCCACTCTGAAGGACTTGCGTGGCCACGCCAAGCCCGTGGGCTGCCCCAGGGCAGTCTCCCCATTACTCGGGCTCTCAGCCCTGGTCGCCTCGGCACAGCCCCCGCCGCGGCGGGTCAGGGACTTGGACACCGGGGAGCTCCCTGCCCCCAGACAGCGGCAGCTCTGCACGTGGGCCTCCGAGGCCCGGCAGCCGGGCCCCCCACCCGCAAACCCTCCCGCAGACTCCCCACGCCTCTCCTACCTGGATGAGCTGGGCGCGGGGTGTGGCCAGCAGGTTGAGGGTGCAGGAGAGCTTCCGGAAGAAGTGCTCCCCGGCCTCCCCGAAGCCGGCGCTTCTGGTCCACTCCAGGAGCTGCTGCAGGCGGGCACAGGCCTGGACGCCTCGGGGCCAGTGAAAGCAACTCAGAGAGGGGCCTGGGGAGGCGGCGGGGCCGTGAGACCCCGGCGGCTACTCCAGAGTAGGTCCGCTGGCCGCCCCCCGAGGCCCCAGCTGGCCCTGTGCCTGTCCTCTCCTGCTCCAAGCCTCAAAGGACAGACGGGAGGCCTCACCTGGGCTCTAGGGCACCCCCCCTGCTGGTAGGCCCCACTCCCCGGTCCCCAGTGTGGGGTGGGGCTTAGGCCTGGGAGGCGGGGCTGAAGGTGGCAGGGAGGGGCTATGACAGCCACCGAATCCCAAGTGCGCGGGGACAAGTCCAAGGCCACAGCCGAGCCCCCTTGCTCCCCCACCCGGATCCCACCCTGTGGCCCCTGCCCCAGCCTGGGAAGTCCACGGCGATGACACGCATGTGCTGGGGGCTCGTCCCTGCATGTATGTGCCCATGCCCCAGCAGCGCCCCGGAGCCCCTGGGCAGGACAGTAATGTCTGCAGTGCCAGGTTTGGGCGGCAGGGAGGTGGGGTCAAAGGTCGCATCGCTTCTCTGAGCCCCTTCCCTCTTCCCCCACAGGGGCTGTGCAGACTGTGGGGGCCAGGAGAGGCCCTAGGGGCCCTGCGCTGACACTGGCCGAGCTTCTGTCCCTAGGGGGACGTGCTCTACAACATCCCTACTCCATGGGCCTCTGCCTGGGCCCCCACGGACCCAGCACGGACCCAGCATGGACCCCTGTGGCCGGGAACGCCCTGGCCACCGCCCAGCGCCCAGCATCCTCGGGAGCCGGCACGAGGGCCCAGCTCGCCACCTCCGGGAGGACGCCCGAGGCCCGGCCCGGCCCTCACCCTTGTCCAGCAGCTGGTTGAAGAGCAGCGTGCTGGAGAAGAAGAACAGGTAGGCCAGCACCTGCGCGGCGACCTCGGGGTGCACCTGGGACTGCTGCAGGAGGTCCAGCGTGCTCTGGTAGACGGCCACCACGCGGCGCAGCTCCTCGGGCAGCTGGGGGGCCGGGCACCAGCTCTCCCGGGGCTCCGTCTGGAAGGGGGGGCACTCCAGCAGGGCTGGGAGGCAGACGTACAGGGACTGGGGGCAAGAGGGGGACACGGCAGTGGTTGGCAGGGCTGGGGCACTGGCCCCGGGGCTTTTGTGATGGCGGCGAGCCCCGGGGCTCCCAGGGCAGCTGCCTGGGGGTGGAGGGGCTCTGTGCAGGCTCCTTGAAAGGGGCAGGAGACCACGGAAGGCACACAGGAGGTCCAGCAAAGGGCCCCGCAGACCCCTGAGCGTCTTCAGGGGGCGGGGAGGACCGGCATGGGGCTGCCACCCTCTGGGGCGGGGCGAGGGGAAAGTGTGTGGCTCCCTCCAGGCCCCCGGCACACCCAGAGGGGCAGGCGCGCTGCACCTTGGAGACGTAGTACACGCACTGCTGGAAGGCGTACAGCACCACCTCCTCCAGCTCCGCCATGGCCTCCTCGCTGGCCGACAGTGCGCAGGAGAACAGGGACTCCTTCGAGCCTGCGGGGGACGGAGGCGCCGGGTGAGCGAGGGGCCGGCCAGGCCTCCTTGGGAGCGGGGTGAGACGCTGGTCTGCCCGCCCACCCGCCGCTGCCCTGTGCTGCACAGGCAGCTCGGCCCCGCGATCGCGGAAGAAGCTCTGCTCAGGGCTGGAAGGGCTGGAGGGCGGCTCTGGGTCTGCCGGGCCTCCCTGGAGCACTGACCCGTCCCCTGACTGCTGGACAAGCCCCGCCCCTGGAGCACAGACCCGCCTCCCCACTGCTGGACAAGCCCCGCCCCTGGAGCACAGACCCGCCTCCTCACTGCTGGACAAGCCCCGCCCCGCCAACATCTGGACAGCCGCTGTTTCCCTGTCTCGCTGTTCAAGGCTCTTCCCCTTGGAGCGGGGCTCCCGCCCCTCGGCCCACGGCAGGCTCACTCCCCAGGAACCGCCTGGGCCGGGAAGCCAGACGCCTGCCTGCGCACACACGGACCAGACGCACAGACGCGGCCGGGAAGCCCCGCTGCACGGCCTCCCAGCGCAGGGGCTGGGCTGTGGGGCCGGGCGCCAACCCGCGGGCCTGCTGTGGGGCTGTTTGGCCAAAAGCAGACCGACACCCTCCTGTGGGCCTGGGGCCCTGGCGGGCGGAGACGGCAGGAAGAGGGCCAGTGGGGTCCCACTGCGCACAGCAGGGCAGGCTCCCGGCAGGTGCCCCCAGGGCCCCTCTGACGTCATGTAAAACCTCCTGGAACACCTCCCCTGCGAGGCTGGGGCTTCCAACGGAGCCGACACCCACCGAGCCTTTTCGAGCCTTTGCCTGCCGCCTCCCCTCCTCCCTCCCTCCCTCCCGTGCTGGCTCCCAAGGCCCAGCACCTGAGGGCCCACAAGCTGCAGAGGCTGAGACAGGACCTCAGAGACTGACGGGGGGACTTTAAACGGATAGAACCAACCCCCACCCTTGGCCGGGCCACCCTCTCCTCCGCCCGCACGCACGCGCACACGAGGGCTCCTGGGTGAGAGCTTCGGACAAAAGTGCGGGGAACGAAAAGCGGTTTTTCCAGCTCTCGGGACGTGACATCTCTGGCTGTAGAATTCTTCCCACAGACACTTCCTGCCCGAAGGTCGGGAGCCCTCGCGCTGGCCCTGGCCTCCCCTCGCCCTCCAGCTGACGGGGTTTTTCCTCTGAGCTCTCCAGCGCCTGCACCGTGCACGGTCTCTGCGCCGCTCAGCTCCTGCTGCAGCCTCCCCGCCGCCGGCGTGGCCCCGGGGTTGACGGAGGCGGGACCCTCTCCCAGCACCCACTGGGCGACATGGCCTCCAGGCTCCCCGACCAGAAAAACCTCCCTCCTGAGACCGGAGGCAGCCGCCCAGTGAGCAGTGCCACCTTCCCAGGAAAACCAGCCGAGTGCGGGTGCCCGCGCGGCACGCTCAGCCACGCAGACGGGCCCCCGGACTGCCGCCCCTCCAAGAGGCGACCCTCCCGTGTGCACTGGGCCTGAAGTCACGAGTGGGGGACCAGGATTAATGGGGCTCCCTGAGCACACGCCCCAGCTCCCAGCATGGCTCAGGACCACGTGCGTGTGGAGACAGGCCAGAGGCCCCAGCGCTCGCTGGCCAAGCCGAGTGCAGCAGAGCCTCGCCCCTCAGCAGCCGCAGCAACACTGGCCCCGGGGTCTGGGGGCTTTCGAGGGGACTCGGGGGTCTGGAGAGGGAGGGGACTCGAGGCCTCGCAGGAGGCGCCCTGGCTCCGCAGACCCGGCAGGGTGGGTGCCCGTGCCCCGGGCAGGGGAGCTGGACAACAGGCACCTCGGACGCAGGCCTGGCGTACAGAGCGGGCAGCGGCCCTGTCCAGGGGGGGTGCCACCTCTCACAGCCCCCCCGCCCCTCGGGGAAATGGGCTGGAGCCGCAGGCCTGCGGGCTGTTCCGTGGGATTCTTTCCTCCCGGGAGACGGATGCAGCTGAGCACAGGCCGGCGTCCAGCTGACCCCGCCCAAGCAGAGCCCCGGCAACACCCGCCCCCCCCCCCCCCCACCTGCTTCCTGCGGCCTGCCTTCCCTCCCAGCCCCGAGGGCCACGCCCTGGGACCAGCCGAGGTCCCGAAAACAGGAGGGAAGGTCGTGGGAGGCTGCGTCTTTGCCACCGCGGCGCAAGAGGCCGTGTGGACGCAACCGAGTTCGTCCACGCACGGCCGTGGCCCCTGCCCCTGGGGGCTCAGCTGCCACATCCACTCCCAGTACAGGACGGCCCTGCTGCTCCCTCCTGACTCCGTCCCAGGGGCCGTCACGCCTCTCCCGACCCCGCACAGCCCCTGTCGGGCGGGCGCACACCTGCTGAAGGCCGACTCGGGCCTCCCCCACGAAGCCCTCCTGGACGGCCCCGCCAGTCACTCTCTCGCTGAGAGTGTCCCGCACTCGGCACACACCCGTCCCACGTCCGAGCCCTGAAGCCACACGCACGCACTGCCCTACAGCCTCCTGGGCAATCTGCCTTCCTCCTGAGATGGCGGGGCGACTCGTGGGACGATGGCTCGGGGCCCTTGTGCTGCGTTCCCTCCACGGATGCCCACGAGTGACCGGCGTCCCCAGGCCCCCCAGGCAGAACAGTGGGACGGCCTGTGAAACGACGGGAGCAGAGCGCCGACGCGCCGCGGACAGGTACCCGGTGAGCCCAAAGGTCAGCGTCGCCTCCGCTCAGAGGAAGCCCCGCCCTGAGCCTGCCCCTGCTGCGAGTTGGCCGGGCCCCCCAGCGGCCACACGGGCCCCACCTGTGACGTCCAGCTCCTGCTCCAGGCTCTGCATGTAGACGGGGCCCTGCTGCTGGACGAAGTAGAGCAGCTCGATGGCGTTGGCCATCCACACCAGGATGTGCCGCAGGTCGGGGAGCAGGCCCGCCAGGCTGAAGCTGGCCGGGGACGGGGGCTCCTGGCTGCCGGGACAGGGAGGCGGGCGGTGACGCGGGGAGCCCCTTCGCCCAGGGCCCACTCATCTCAGGGGGGCGCCAGCGCAGCCACGCCGCGGCAGCCCACACTCCCCCCCCCACCGCGTGGCCGGGCAGTGGGAGGAGGCTGCGGAATCTGTCTGGTGCCAACCGCCGGAGGCTCGCCCACAGACCGCCGCGGGAAGGGCTCCCAGCTAAGCCGGCCGATCTCCCGCCGGCCCGTGTTGTTAGTAGGGTGGGTGTGCAAGTGGGTGTGCACTCGGGGGTGCCCGGATCAGGGGCCCTGGTGACAGGGTGCCCGGGGTCCTGGAGGACGAGGAGGCCCTGGGGGGCCTGACTGGGGCAGGGTGGGCCCCGCCGTCCTCCGTGTCTGTCGCCTGCTAAGCATCGGACGTGCGGGTTGCCTCCAACCTCCGTGCTCACAGCACGGCCTCAGGGCACGGCCCCTGCCCTCCACACGGAGACACTTCTCCATGGTGTCCCCTCAAGATGGGGACGGGGGGTCACGGGACACACATGTCTTTACTGTCACGGTTTTCCAGGCCCCGGGGTGCGTGAGATAGAAACGGGTGAAGGCAGACGTGGGGAGGCCCTCGCCCCGTCGGGGCTGTGGTCGTCCCCGGGGGGCAATCCTCTCTGCCAGGGCCCACGAGGGTGTGTGGGGGGAGGACACAGGCTTCCGAGGGGGCCGGCCCGTCTGCCCCGTGCACGACGCTCGGGAAACCTCGCAGACACAGCGCTTCCCGGGCGGCGACCAGAGAGGTCACAGTGGCCCCCGGAGACGGAAGGACAGTGTGGCAGGGCGCAGTGCCCACCCAGCGGCGTCTGCGCCCCGTGGGTGCCGCTCCGTGGGAACCGGGACGAGCGCAAAGGGGCGGGGACAGTGGCGGGAATACTCACAGGTGCGCCTGCTTCTCCGCTAGCTCTTTGGTTTTCTCCTGCAGCCGCAAAGGAAAAGGAGGTGAGAACAACAGGAAACCGCAGGGAGAGCGCCAGCAGATGCGGGGGACGGGCGGACGGCGTCCACAGGAGAACACGGGCCGCGCAGTGTCCCCTCGGGCTGCGGTCTCTCCGAGCCACCGCAGGACATCGCCGCGGGATGGTCTCACGGCCATCCAGCTCACACAGCACCTGACCCTCTCAGAGACGTGCGGGGCGGCCGAACGCTCACAAAGGCCAGGCTCTGCTGGCCCTCTCGTCACACATGTCACCCCCGTGAAGGGGCCGGTGACTCTGTGCCTGCGTCCTCGCAGAGGCATCTACGCGTCCCCACGGGGGCTCAGGTTCCACCCCGCAAGGGCGCCGCTGTCCGGGACAGGAGTGCAGTGGGTGGGGCCTGGGGTGCTCAGTGCCCCGTGCTGTTCGGGCTGCGGTCTGGGAGCCTGGTCCCGCAGGGCAGGTTGGCCGCGCACAGAGGCTGACCCTCGGCCCTGGGCCCCGACCCCAATCTGACAAGGGCCCTGCCCTGGGGTGTCGGCAGGGGCCCACCTGCTCCCGGCAGGGAGGACACGGGCCGGAGCTCACACAGCCGCGGCCCAGGGGCGCCCCGCGCTACGGGGCTGTGTGGACGGCCCCGGGAGGCTGGCTGGCTGGCGGCCAGAGGACGGCCTCAGCACCCCCCGCGCCCCCCGCCCCCACCCGAGGCCGCGGCGGCGGAGACTGACCCAGACGGTCTCGCGGATCATCCGGGCGATCTTGAGCAGCAGTGGCCCGAAGGAGCCCTGTGGGAGGCGCGTGGCCGCGTGCTGGACGCACAGGCAGAGCAGGAAGGCGGGCGTCAGCTTGTGGTCGTCGCCGCCCGGCTCGATCAGCGTCATGATGCGCCGCAGCAGCGCGTCCTCCGCCTCGGGCTCGAACTCCAGGCGCAGCGGCCGGGGCCGGGGGGCGCCCGGGGCCCGCAGCGGGGCCCCGCACATCCTGCAGCTGTGCGGCAGGGCCCGCAGGCGGGCCAGGGCCTGCGCGGGCAGCGGCTGGGCCTGCGCCGGGTCCTTGAAGAGCAGCAGGTAGTAGAGGCCCAGGGACAGCAGGTCCCCGTGGCGCAGCGCCACCGTCTGGCCGCCCACCTCCGAGAAGTTGACCGCGACGGGAGCCCCAGGGATGGGCTCCAGGACCAGCAGGCCGCGGGGCCGCTCTCGGCCCGAGGGCTGCAGCCGGCGGAGGGTGCAGTGCAGGGGCAGGATGTCGGGGGCCGAGAGGCTGATGCTGGGCTTGCTGGAGGGCGTCCTCTGGCCCACCGTGTGCCGCTCCCGGTTGAGCACGTACACCAGGCTGTCCTGGAAGGCAGACCCCGACTCAGGGGGGTACACCGCCCGGCGAGCGGCAGTGCCCACGGTGCCCATGCCTGGGACCCAGGACTGCTGTCCCCGACTCTCCCTGTCCCGGGACACCCCTGCCCCAGCTGGCTGCGTGCCCCAGCCTGTCCCCCATGGGGCGACCACCTCGTCCTGGGAGGGGCTTTCCCGGGGCAGCCGAGTAGCTGGCCAGAAACCTGGGGAGGCCCCAGCGTGAGGAGCGAGAGGCCAGATGCAGGCGGCCTGGACGTGGACTCGGGCCGAGCCCCAGCCCCAGCTCTGTGCCAGGGCAGGGCCGCCTCAGACCCGAGCCCCAGAGCCCCTGTGTGACCAAGTGCGCCCTGCAGCTGGCTCGGGGTGGGGGCACTCAGTGAGGACAGGAGTGAACCAGACGTCGGGGGGACGCCACCAGGCGCCGTGGCTCAGACCAGGCCCTTCCAGCCTCCACATCCCCAGGGTGGGGCAGGGGGCCCCCCCCGGTGCCCTGAGGGGGCAGCCCTCCACCAGGTACCCGCTGTCACAGGAGAGGACGCAGACCTGAGCCCTGGCCCCCAAAGCCAGGGCAGGAAGCGGCCTGGGACACAGTGAGGACGGTGACAGACAGTCCCCTGTGAAGGGTGCCCAGTACCTCGCTGGGGTGAGCAGTGAGGAGCTGGGTGACCCTCCTCACAGAGCCCGCTCCCTGGGCCTCCTCCCGTGAGCTGGACAGAGAACGCTCTGGAAGCCGAGGGCGGAAGAGCCCTTCCCCAGAGTCTGGGACAGGCCCAACACCAGCCGCCCCGCCGCCACCGCAACCACCCACCATGGCCAGAGCGACAGGAGCTCAGGCTGCCTTAGCCACCGGCAGGAGGCCTTTACTCTGGGGACACCTGCCAGCCTCCTGCTCAGGCGCCCGGGGGTGCAGGGGGGGGGCAGGCGCCGGGGTGGGGGCATGGCTCACGTGCTGCTGGCTGTAGCCCTGCAGGAGGAGCAGATGGGGCGACTCGTAGAGGGAGTAGCGCATGGCGTCCGGGCCGGGCTCCTGGGCGGCGGCAGGGCTCAGGCTGGTCTCGCTGGCCGAGCGGCGCAGCCGGGGCTCAGGGGGACCCCGGGCACCCTCCAAGGCCAGGGCTGGGGTTCCCTTGGCGCGGCTCCGCTGCAGCCTCCGGGCTTGAGCGTTTATCCCTGAAATGGGAGGCGCGGGGTAAACCGCCAGAGCCAGTGGAGGCCCACCTCACCCCAGGGCCCTGCCCAGCACCTGGCCCATGCTGCCGGCCCACGTGTGCGTGCTCTCCCATGTGTGTGCGCTCCCGTGCACGCGCGGCGTGCTGTGACTGATGTGATGAGAGCTGTCCCCTGGGCCCCGTTCTCCCGGAGGAAGCCGAGAAGCAGCCCCCTGAGGCGGCGGTCGCCTAGGGCAGCTCGCGGCTCCTTCCCAAGGCCGTGCCCAGTCAGAGCACACGTACACACGCGCACACACAAACCACGCATGCAGAAACACACGCACACACAAACGCACCCCAGGAAAGACAGTCTCATCCGTCCTAGAAGTGCCCTTTTGCACCGATTCTGCCGGGAAGCTGCGAAGCCATCTGAACCCACGGGCACCAGTCCCTGCTGACCCCGGCGCCTTCCCCCTGGGCCCCCTCCTCCCGCCCCCACGCCCCCCCCCCCGCAGCATCCCTCCCTACAACCGCTCCAAAGGAAACCGGACCAAAGCCAGAGGACCCGCGTGGGGCAGGAGAGCGGGGGGCCCAGGCACTGCCTTACCGGGCGCTGGACGGAGCCAGCAAGCACTCCGATTGACCTGCCCTCCCAGGAGGAAGCCCGCTGGTCCGCAGCCCGCGGCGGCCGGGCTGCAGGAGGCAGGAGGCTGAGCCGCAGTGCAAGTGCGCGCAGCTGCCGCTCCCCGCCCGCTGCAGAGCAGGCCAGCCACCAGCGGGAGGGGAGCCCCAGAGGCGGGAGAGGGCCAGGTGGGAGCAGGAGGGGCAGGTGGGGGCATGGGGGAGGGGGGTGGGGCAGGGGGAGTGGGGCGGGGTGGGGCAGGGGGAGTGGGGCGGGGGGGGAGGGGGAGAGGAAGCAGGCAGGGGGAAATGACGGGTTGGGTGGAGCAGGCAGGGCAGGGGGAGCAGGGAACGCAGGGGGAGCAGGCCCTGTCCTCCCACCACTCTCCCGAGAAGGGCAGGCCCCAGGGCTCCGGCACCACTGCGCAAACACGGGGCCACACCACATGACGTCCTCGCGCCCAAGCCTGTCCTGCACCAGGGACAGCGCTGCAGGGCGGCATGTGCCCCCGCCCACCCTTCTGGAGGCCCTGGGGCTCCCGGCAGCCACGCTGCCCGAGAAGACCCCCTCCCTCCTAGATCCCCAGGGGCTCCCAGCGGCCAGACGAGGCCAGACGGACTGAGGCTGGTGTGGCCTGGGGCTGCGGCCGCTGGACCCCACTCCCGCGGCTGGGGTCCCGCCCCCCAGGGCCCAGGGCCCGCGTCTCTGACCCCGGTGCCCACAGCAGCGGTGCTCAGCCCTGGCCGCGCTCAGAGCCGCCGGGGCAGTTGCCGAGGCCGCGCCCAGGGCTCCTCGGAGGGTCCTGGGGCGGCCGCCCCAGCGTCGAAGGGCCGGGGCCGAGGAGCCACAGTAAGATGTATTCTGTATGTGACTTTGTTGTGTGCTTCACTCATTTTATTTTTAGAAACTCTAAATAAATATACATCATTCTTTGTGTTCTAAGGAATCGGGGGAGGGGGGGGAGGCGCAGTCCCGACGCTCTGGAGCGCGCAGTCTCTGGCGCGGGAGCCGGGAAGAGGCCCCGCCCCCAGGAGGCGGCGCCGCCAGGGGGGGCAGAGGCGCGGGGCTCCCGCCCACGTGGGCCCCGCAGAGCGTCGCTCCCCCAGCGCTGCGGCCTCCCGGCCCAGAGTCACACCCCCAAGGGCCAGGCTGAGGCGGGAATCCACGGCTCCTTTTCCGCTGGGCCACACCCTCCTGCAGGGGGGAGTGGCACCCCGGTCACTCGGCTCTTCACGTGCCACCCTCCCTCCTCCCCCGCGAGAAGTCGGAGCCCAGGGCCCCGCTGCTGGCGGAGGAGAGGCCTCTGTGCACGGGAGGGGCGGCGAAGCCATGCTGAAGACGGCCGGTGACTGTCCCGCGAGCCCCGGGCTGGGCTCGGCGCTGGCTTCGGGGGCAGCGCTGGAAAGGAAAACAGCTCTTTTCCTGGACGTCACCGACCAGGACAATAAATCCAACCTGTGGGTGTACCGGCCCGTCTGCTTCCGCCGCCCGCCCGGGGCTGAAGGCTGCGAAACCGCCCGCATACAGCTCGGGCCGTTTCTGCGGCTCACGGGCCCTTCGGCCGGCGGCGGCCCCAGAGCCAGGGCGGCGGCCGGTGGCTGACGACTGGACCCTGGCTGTCGCCGTGGCTGCCCCAGGAACTTCCCTCCCAGGGAACACGGGCCGGCTGCACGGGCCCGGGGGAGAGTCCTGAAACCCACAGGGAGCGAAGTGCCCCAGCACCGCGCCACCGACGGCACCGTGGCTCTCAGCGGGGCCTCGGCGCACGGCAACCCAGGACGCTGCCCCGCGTCGCTCCTCCAGCGCCCGAAGCGTTGCAGGGTGAAGACGCGGCAAGCAGGGGCACAGAATGAGAAGTATAACCGGTTCAACCTGCCCTGGCTGTAAAGGTCGCGGGTTCGACTCCAGATTCGGGCACAAACCAAGGTTGCAGGTTTGAACCTCGGGCGGCGTGTGTGTGAGAGGTGACTATTTCTCCCCCTCTCACTCTCTTCCTGCCCCTCACTCTAAAATTGATAAGCATGTCCTCGGTGAAGATTAAAAAAAAAAGAAACACAACTCACAAATAGTAAAGGGAACACATATCTCATCAAAGCAATGAGATATGTCTCCCGCCTGTCCAACTGGCAGAGATTTTTTTTAAGATTTTATTTTTTATTTATTTATTTTTAGAGAGGGAAGGGAGGGAGAAAGAGAGAGAGACATCAATGTGCGATTGGTGGGGGTCATGGCCTGCAACCCAGGCATGTGCCCTGACTGGGAATCGAACCTGCGATGCTTTGGTTTGCAGCCCACGCTCAATCCACTGAGCTACGCCAGCCAGGGCATCAACTGGGACAGATTTTTAATGACAGAATCACACAGTACCGGGATGAAGAGAGTCCCCCGTCTCCAAAACTGCTGGTGAGACTGGAAGCTGGACGTGGTGCGCCCCCAGCTGTAAAAACAGCGGTCAAGGTACTGCCAACCGCATCAATACTAAGATATAAATACATCCATATCTAAACTGTCTCCATCCTTGCACAAAGGAATTCCTCTTTTAAGTTAATGTCCCGCAGAAATAATAAAAAAGGAACCCGACATTTCTGTGCAAGACTGTTTGGTATGATAGGCATTATTTATAAACAGAGAAAAGTGGGAAATGGTCTAAAAAGCCAGGAGGGACATGGTTGGGGACGCACGCTCTCGGGCACCGCAAAGGGTGCTCACGGTGCGAGGAAACAAACACGCGAAGGAAAACGAGGAACAAAAAGCGGGGGCCACGTAACCGTGCGCGTGGGTCAGTTTAGCGTGGAAGGAAATCCACGAGACACGGAGACAGGACCAAGACCTAGGGGCGCCAGAGGCTGATGGCGGCCGTCTGCGGAGACGACGTGCGAGTGGTTTCTACTCCCATTTCTACTTTCCTCGTTTTCCACATCCCCCCCCCGCCCCCCACGGGCCTGCCTAACTGAGCAACGTGGGGAATCGCATTTTCAAGTACTGAGGGGCATTGTTTCCACCGGAGCACTTGGAACGCCTCCTACCACTCAGAGTCTTAATCAGGGAATAGCATCCCCTCTCCAGAAGGAACTAATAACCTAATTAAGATAATGGGTAAGCTGAGGAGATAAAATGCTTAAGCCGTTTGTCAGTCGAAGGTGGAGGCGGAGCCTTCGGGGGCTGGGCAGTGCGGCGAGACCAGGGTTTTCCTCCGCTGAAACCCAAGGCCGCATCTGGTCCCTGAGGTGCACTGAGCCTTTCCTGACGGGGGACCGAGGGAGCACAGACCCGGCACTGCCGCCTGCGGACACCCGTGGGCCCGCCACGAGGCCGGCTCTCACCCCTGACCCGGGCAGGCAGGGGGGCAGCCCCGGGGCTCCCCCTTCCCCACCGTGGTGAAGCCCCCTGGCTCCCTGCCCCCCGCCCCCCCAGACCAGCCCCACGGTTCTCAGGTGAGTGCCCCCCCCACCCCCGCTATTTCAGGCGAGGAGGGAGAGTTGAGGAAACAGCCCTGAAAGTGCAACACGAAGACCAAGAAGAGAATGTGGGAGAGAAGAAACACCAGAGAAACACAGGGCCGCCCAGGAGACCTGGGACCCGAGGAGCAGGAGAGCCAGGAGACCCCGTGCCCCCGCCCTGAGGAGTGGTGACAGCCCTTCGGCACCGAGGGCCACGCGCTGGGTGGGAGGGCACGGGGCGCTCTGACGCACCGCGGGGCGGGGGGAGATGCGCAGAGGACGGACGGGAAGAGGCGAGGGGACGCACTTTAACGGCCCGGATAGAAACAAGGATTGTGGAGAATGGAACATAAATGTGATCGTGGGTCCAACCGTAATTTTTTTAATAAAGAACCGAAAGCCCAGCACGAGGGTGAGGACGCACCAAGACGCACACGGTGAGTTTTCAGAGCGAGGCCCGGGCGGCGGCGGAGGGGAGAGGCCGCGTGAGTTTCCGAGGGAGGCTGGGGAGCCGGCTCGGCCGCAACTGCCCCCCGGGGCACCGGAGGTTGAAGGAGTGCACCCGGCCTTCCCAGTGCTGGGCGAGAAAACTGTTTTCCTTCTAAACTCCATGCCCAGCCAGGCGGTCACCGAAGCGTTAGGGCGGCACACAGGTCTTCTGGGACGCGCACGGTTTAAAGCGACGTTAACTCCCGGGTACCCTTTCCCGGGAAGCCACTCGGAGGAGACTCTCCACCCAAACAAGAGCGTGGCCTAGACCTCGGGGGAAGGGACAACCGGGGGTCCTCCTGGGGAGAGGCGGCGGCGGGGGGTTCTCAGAGCAGCCAGCCCTCGAAGCAGGCAGAAGACCCCAGAACACTGCAACGGATAAAACACACCCTCCATCTGTCTGAGCATCGTGGAGATGGGTAAGATGATGGCAGAGATTGGGGGGAGACTGAGTCAGTGCAGAGTACAAGG